TTGCCTTATAATGCTCCCCTTTTGTTTAGCTATTCGGACGCTAGCAACGTCGCCTGCGGGGCTTTTGTTGTGGGCACTAATGAGGTGTCCCATCGTATGTGGACTGCTTGCGAAGCAGCTAAGAGCTCTACCTGGAGAGAACTTAAGGCTATACAATTTGCCTTAAGTGCGTTCAAAGCCTCGGTTCGGGGTAAGTGTGTAAAGTGGCATTCTGACAGCCAAGGGGCCGTTCGTGTTGTGGAGATAGGGAGTCCTAGTGCAGAATTGCATTCTATTGCGCTTGATATTTTCTATTTTTGTCGAACTTACAATATTACACTTATTCCCCAGTGGGTTCCCAGGGAACTTAATGCTTGTGCTGATGCGATTAGCCACATTGTAGACTTCGATGACTGGTATACAACCCCCGAGTTCTTCGCACACTTGGACCACCTTTGGGGCCCACATACAGTCGACAGGTTTGCGAATGCTGCCAACGCCCATCTTCCCAGATTCAATTCTAGGTTTCGCGTGCCCGGCACTGAAGCTGTTGACGCATTTTCAATCTCGTGGAATGGAGAGAATAATTGGCTAGTCCCTCCCGTCCACTGCATTACTAGGGCGGTTCAGCATCTCCTTGTATGCGGTGCGGTTGGTACTTTAGTCGTCCCTTATTGGCCGTCTAATGTGTTTTGGCCTTTCTTGTTCGCAAATGCTGTTCAATTCCAACCGTACGTCCTTGAGTACATTCATTTTCCCGACCCCTCAGGGATTTTTGCCCTTGGGTGTTACAAAGATTCACTCATTGGTTCAGACAGGTTTAACAGCGCGGTGCTGGCAGTCAGAATTGGCGCTAAGGGGCCTTAGTTTTTTCAAGCCGAGTGGCTTTATGTTGGCTCACGTGTTTTTTATTCCGCTCGTCGGTTCATTTGTCCTCGTTTCGCATGAAACTAGCTCGCCGAGTGGCTTGTTTACCGTCGTTTTTGAGTTGGCCCATTCGGCCTTAAATAGTTTTGCATCCGGTCAGAGGCATTACCAAGCGTCCATTTTTTTTTGCTGTATTGACTCCCAGTGCGTGTACTGAGGAATTTTGCCATATATTTTTGTTCTTATCCTCGTAGAAGTTCTCAAAGATGCCTTGCAGCCTAATTTTCAACAGGTTGAAGACGGGCGACTCCGGGCACTGGTTCAAGATCTCCCCGCAGTTCTTCTTAAATCCAAAGCCGACAGTACCGCGAGGAAGTACGAAAAGGGCTTCAATACGTGGAGAAAATGGGCTTCTCAGTTTAAAGAAATTGTTATATTTCCCGCTTCTAGTGTGCACGTTTCATTGTTCTTTCTTAGCTTGATTCAAGAATCTGCTTCTTGCAGTACTATTGACGAAGTCCATTATGGGCTCAAGTGGGTGCATGATTTGGCAGGTCTACCCGACCCCTGTAATTCCTCGTTAGTTTTACCTTTAATAGAATCTGCTAAGAGGCTTCTCAGTATCCCTGTTAAAAAGAAAGAGCCTGTGACCCCCGAGGCTATTCAGCTTTTATTTTCTAAGTATGGATCGTCTTCAGCTAGTTTGTCTGATTTACGAGTGCTTACTTTGTGCGTTTTAGGTTATGCAGGGTTTTTTCGCTTTAACGAGTTGGTTCAGTTACGCAGGTGTGATTTTCAGTTTGAAGATTCTTTTATGAGAATCTTTGTTCATCGAAGTAAGACTGACGTTTACAGGGATGGGGCTTGGGTTGTTATCGCTAAAACTTTCAAGCATACATGTCCTTATTTATTAGTTCAACGATATTTTGTGGCCGCTTCTTTTTCAGCAGACAGCGAAGAGTTCATTTTTCGCCCTCTTGTTTTTCTTCGCAGTACCGGAGCTTATAAATTGCGCGGGTCTGTTCCTTTGTCTTATACTAGAGCGCGGGAGATAGTGCTTAGCGCTTTCGATTCCATCGGCCTTCCCAAGCAAGACTACGGTCTCCATAGCCTTAGGGCCGGAGGCGCCTCCGCTGCTGCTAATGCTCGAGTGCCTGACAGATTGTTTAAAAGACACGGCCGTTGGAAATCAGACAAGGCAAAAGACGGTTACATTAAGGATAGTGTTCATTCATTGTTGTCGGTTTCATTATCACTGGGTATTTAATTTTCCGTATTTCCCGTTCTTTTAGTTCGCACACGGCTCGTGTTGACACACCCCAATTGAGGTTGCTTGTTACATGATAAATGTTTTATACTCGTTTGAGCGGGGTAGCGAATTAGAATATAAGTTTCTGGAAGTTTCACGTTGTAGTCGTGCAAAACAACGGCAAAGAATTGTACAAAAAAGTGTGTTGCACGTGCAAAGTTCCTTTTTGCTAATTAGGGACCTATTGTTGTTTTTCACTGTTCTCCGGCGTTGCCTTCGCCGCTTAGCATTACACTATTTTATATTTTGTTTGAACGAACTATAAATATTATCGAGAGCTTCACTTTTAGCCCTGGCTAAATTTATATATTATTTCTCATACATACCTGTTACTTTTCCTTTGAATTGAAAGGAACACAATATCTAGACTGAAATATCACATGTCTCCATCCCCTAACTAGTGTGGGGTTAGGGGATGGAGACGTGTGACATTTCAGACTGCACAATATCCTGTTGTAACCTGCTGAAGCGTTACTGAGGCGTTCGTGTTTGGTTTTCTCTATGTTGTACTGGCCTGTTTGGTTGATTTGGAGCTGCCCTACAAACCTTTTTTCTGTTCGGGTGTCTTAGGGAAACTTTGGTCGTCTCAAAAGTTTTAGGTGGCTTTTTCTTCTCATCCGAAACTGTTAACTACCGCCTGATGGGAATTGTTCTGATGGGGCCGATCGAAAGTTCGAGTTCAGTGAACAGCTACCCTGGTTCCATAGGTCCGTTCTCAAAGGTACAGAAAAACGGGCAACAAAAAACGAGCAACTTGTTTTGCAACATTGCTGCAAAACGAGTTGAATACCGATGTTGCGCGTTTTACCATCCACATAAAACCTGTCTTGCAACAAATCAGGTTGTTAACAGGTTTGAACATGGGTGTAAAAACGCGCAATATCGCTATTCAACCCGTTTTGCAGCAATGTTACAAAACAAGTTGTACGTTTTTTGTTGCCCGCTTTTCCGTACCCGCAGTTTTATGAAGCGCTTCCACTTCGCACCTCGTTGACGCGGCTTCGCCGCAAAACATCAGTATCGATAAGAAAAAAAATGTCCTCTGGAACCCGGGGTAGTGAACAGCCTTCCTTTAAAAGAAATCAAGGGAGCGTTTTGTCTTAAAACCGAAATTTTCAGGAGACCTTTTTTTTATCAATAAACGCAGTATCTTGGTAGCAAAATGTGCAAAACGCAACCTCCGAAAATCGTAAGTAAGTTATTAGAAATACTCGGAATATCTTAAATAAATGGAACCCTTATACAGAGCATTTTAGCCTTTCTCGAGCATTAGAAATTTGTAGCCAATATTTGCTTCTTCGAACAGTTATTTTACAGAAAAAAGTCGTTGGGTGCCCTTGCTGTAAATGCGACTTTTTAGAACTCTTTCGTTTATTAATCATGCAATTCTTTCTCATAAAAAACGTATTTTTGAAGACAATTTCTGAGCTAAAATAGAAGTGAGTGGATGAATGAAAACAAACATGGTCACCGCGAGCTATAACACCCGAATCTTGAGTCCCAAATATGGGCAGTCTGTGGCGACGAGAAACCGTTAACCGCAAACCGCAGTTTGCCGTTTGCAGTAAGTGTCAAGCCTCCATCTTAATTTTTGACTGAAAATCACTTCATTAGTCGTTACCAAGAGAGGATAAAGGGGACAGAGACAAACAAACACAGTCAAACCCACAGTCAACACACAAAAAAGGCCGGCTTGAGCCTGCGATAAGGGATGCGCAGAAGCTAGCGCAGAACGTTTTTCCGCCCTGAAGTTTGCCCCTGGCCAGTTGAGATGACAGTTACTTTTAATTTGACACTTAAATTACTTGTTTCAGTCGTTTTGGGCCACAATAACTCAAGAAAGGAAACAGAAAGTTATCGTCTTGTGTTCCCCGCCTCGACAAAACGTGAAATTAGGCACTTTCACTCTGTAGTCGAGCAACGAAGGTTTAGAAATGTTCAAAAAAACCTGATGCACGTGCAAAGTTGTTGTTTTGCCAATCTAAACCTATTGCTTTTTTGCCGTTTTCGTTGTCGTCGTCGTTGCTTAAGCTCCCTAATATCAGAGCACTGAGACCGCACTCAAAGTACACAATGACATACTGATGAATATGGATTCTCAACGCGTGACTTTGCCAGTGCCATTGGAACTAAGTGAAACATTTGACACCGTCGACATTGACGTCTTACTCAGTCGTCTCGAGTAAGAGCGTTGGCTTCAGGGGCTCTGCTTTACTTTAGATTGCGTCTTATCTCTCTTACAGATCTCAACGCGTTTCTTTCGACTTGAAACAGTTTCGCGATTTAAAGGCCTAAGCAGTACTTTCCTGCTCAAACTTCCCTTATGTCCCCGCCTCCGGGAAAGGGTTTGCTTGCACGACTTTATGACTATCCTAAGGGATTCAATTTCCACGTTTAGAATAAACAGTTTTACAAAGCTGTCGACGATTTATTGAAGCTGCGTTAATTAATTTTTCCACAATTTTGTTCATGACCCGGGGAAAAAACGGATTTCTAGTTGCTATGGCAACTAAAATTCCTTGGAAACAGTTATTACATAATCTGTTATTGGTTTTTTATTAAGGCGGATTGTTCGTTGTAAATGATAAAACCCGAAGCAAAATAAAATGTAACTAGAACAAACGTTTATGTTAAAAGCTTCCTTACACAAATGAACAGCAAATATATATAAAAATGAAATTTATTTAAAAAGGGGCCTGTCACTTAAAGCAGTGGGTAAATTAAAAGTATAAGCCGAAATTTTTAGTTTTGATTGTTTTATTTTTACCAAATTGATAAAAAAGTATTTACGTATTCAGTACTCATATACGTATTCATTTTAAAAAACGAATACGTATACTCTTTCTCACTGTTGTATATCAGTATTTGTTTGGGTAAATGAGAGTATTTCCAGTCCTGTTGTCCTCCTTTCAATTCCATTGACACCCACGGTCTTTGCCGTTTTAACAGAAAATAATTCAGTTGGTTCAACGCTTGCTGTTTTCCATATAGTAAGATTAAAGCGACTTCCCCCATGCGGCCATGACTTGCAACAAAAACCACGAACAATCAGCCGTCTAAAGGCAGAACGAAACGAGCGAGTAAACAGCATGTAGATGAGTGGGTTTAGTGTGCTGTTGGAATAATGCAGCCATTTACTAAAACTCACCCAATCTGTTCGGTCAGGACACTTTTTGCACACTGCGTATACAACAACGAGTGTAAAAAACGGTCCCCAACAAAGGATGAACGCTCCAACGACAAATGCCAAAGTCTTGGTGATTTTGAGCTCACGACGAAAAGTAACGGTGCGTTCTCGCTGAAGACCGTGTTGAATTCTAGAGTGAGCGCCGCGGATTTCGCGCACTTGACGAAAGGCAACGCAGCAAATTTTACTGTAGACCACGATAAGGATAAGCAGAGGGAGAAAGAATGCCATGAAGGCGATAAAAATCGCGTAGACACGTCCTGCCATCGGCATTATCGATTTTACCACTGTTACGATGGATAAACTTGCGCAGAAAAAGGCAAAAAGCCAAGCGAACGCAATGGAGCCTTTAGCGCGTTTTGCGGTCATTTTACTGTGGTAGGTTAGAGGAGAGTTTATTGCTAGGTGCCTATCAACACTTATTATACATAAATTCACGATAGATGCTGTACTGCACAGGATGTCTATGTACTGCCATGAGTAATAGAGAATCTTCTTATCTTCTCTTGGGATCTTTGTTATGTCCGACAATCGAATGTACAACCAGTATGGCATAGACAGCCCGGCAACAAAGATGTCCGCCACGGCCAGTGATACTACAAAATAGTTAGTGATCGTGCGAAGTAGGTGAAAACGGTAAAACGCAAGGATGACCAGTCCATTGCCAAACAATGCCAGGAAAATAACCAGAGAGAGAAACACAACTGTGATGTTGAGATCCAACGTGTCCACCGTCGAACTTGACGTTGGTAGAGTATCATTCGAGACGTTCATCGCCCACGAAACGATATCTTTCCCTGAAAACTCTCGTGGTGTCCCGGTAAGCTTGAAAGTTCTAGCAAAACTGTGTCAAAAACTTCTGCGCGTTGGAAATTCATTCCTTTAAGGGAAATTTCTAATTAGAGTTTGTTTAAACAGGTGCCGGATACAGAACCATTTCAAGAAGGCAACGGAGTATCTTCTAGTTGAAAGTGCGCGATTAATTCCAGCATTGCCCGCTCAAAATGCCTCCCTCGAGACGTGTCGCGAACGAAAATCAACGAAGAAAATCTAAGAGGAATCATTTTCGACGTGTTTGATTTTTTAGTAAAGGCAATTCAAATAAACTTGCACACCATTGTACAAACAATTTCATCGTGGTAGTTTCTTTGCATTTTCTTGTAATTACACCAAGGTAATTGGTTTAATTCACGAGTTCGTGAAAAACATGGTCAAGATTCAGTGCCACAATTAGGAAATAAATTTTTCATCGAGGTTTTCTCAAAGCAGCTGATAGTCTAGCTGCGTAAAGCCAAACAAAGCAGAAGAAATAGATTGACTGGGTCGTCCGTAATGTAGACAAACTAGACTGACAACAAGACAGCCACAAAAAAAAAAATGTTTAAATAGGATAACGAACGTCATTTATTACTTTAAGTAAACACAAGTCTCCTTTTCTCTTCCTTTAATAATAATATGAAGAAAGCAGTTTTTGCAGGTTGAGGCAAAATTACATGGCAACGGATATGAAAGAAAAGATTGACATTTGGTCGATTTAGAAAATTTCACCGCGGGTTATTGCCAATAAATTCTGCACGGTTTCTTTACGTTTTGTCAAGTCAAAAGCTTCTTTATTAACCATGCTATGATCTTTAGATTCCTGATTGCAAGTCAGTATAAAAGAAACATTTTTTGTTCTCCGCGCTTTGTTTTTGAATCACATAGATTTAACTTTATAACTAGTATGCAAGGAGCAATAACTTGTTTTGTCTCTTCAGACAATACCACGATGGAAAAAAAGAGACCAACCTTACCATTTATATTAGAATTTATGCAAGCTGGAACAACAACATAACAGAATGCTCATTCTTTTTACTTCCTGGGATAAATGATTTGGTCCCGTAACTTTTTCAGTCAATTGATGTTACGATATAGTTCAATGCGTCAAATCGGAAGCCGATGGTCCATTCGACTACTTGTCGGCATGATCGCGAAAAGCACCGATCACAAGACCGCCGATTCTCCGTCGCACAGTGTTGGCTCCGTTTACAGTTGGTTAAACGAAATTTTAAAGGAAATTGTTTCAAAACTTTATTTTCATCGCCTGCTCTTGGGTCCAACGGCGGCGAACAACTATCAAATTACTGACCTCTAACGGATTACCAGCATTGGCTTAACTATGTTGAACCCAGATACAGTCAATGTTGCGTCTATATGGGTCTTCCCAGGAGTTTAGGGTTCGATCCAGGCTGAAATCAATAGGATCTTTGTATCAAACACTAATGTCGGTCAAAGAATTGGGCAAAAAACTCACATATTAAACTTCATTAACCCTTTGAACCCTGATATTAAAATTAAAATTTCTCATTTACTGTCCCTATATAATTCAATAGAAGTATTGAGGAGAATTTGTTGAAATATCAATTAGACTCATCTTCCCTGATCATGTACTCAATTCTCAAGACCACTATGTTTTCTAAAGTATTGATATTATAAGGAGAAATTTCATGCTGATCACTCCTAGGGCTTAAAGGGTTAATCATATAGTAGTCCACGGTTTGTGTTAGTTGCCTGTTGAAAATAATCTCATCTGGCCATTTCGATTGCGTGCTTTAAATGCATGCTTGCGTGTCCTTGGTTTCAGTTCGTCGCAGCTCATCAGAAAAAAACTCCATTCTATGTGCTAAGTTATGCTTTATTAAGTGCAACAGGCCAAAATTATCCACTCCCGATAAAAATACGTCACTCTAAAAACATCCAAAACATATTTCTGCATCTCATAGAAAAGTAGTCTACAGTATCTAGTAAAATCATCTGGGTATGAAAAATATTCAGGAAATATTTCGAAAAATCTTCCAACCCTTAGTCCTTCTTCCACAGAGAAATAAATTATTCCAAAGTCGCCGCACGGGGGACAAGGTAAGAGGAAAACAGCGGAAAGGCCTACTCTTCCCAAAGTTCACCGCGGGATTTTTTCTTTTAAGTGTAAGGCTCTCGGACCAAGGAAGAGACAAAGAGTTCTTAATAACTGTACATCACGCGCTGTACTGAACACGTCAATTTTTCCGTTCTTTCTATCAAAAGGAGCATATTTTATACCCAGACGATTATAGCACCAGACAGGCTATTAAAATTACCTAAAGTTTTTAGTAGTAATATTTACTAACATTTTAACTATCAAAAACTTATAAAAAGTTTACAAGACTAATAACAATTATGTCCCAAAGCATTTTAACCAGTTTAAGTCTAGAGATGACCATAATATAGCTAACTTGCCTCGCCATCAGGCGTGTTAGTTTCGTTCTTCGAATTATCAGTTACGCTCGAAACATTTTCCTTCGATTTATTTTCCGAATTGGGTGCGTCTTCTTCGTTATTACTCGGTGTATCGGCATTACTCGGGAAATCTTCGGAATCATGACTGTTTTCTTTGGTGGGAACTTGTGGATTATTTCCTGATTCCACGCTTCCAGTACCCTCGGATCCTTCTTCTGAGTGCTGGTTTTCCCCGTCATGTACTCCGTTTTCGTTTTCTACTTCTTGTGGTGATGCTTCTTGAGTTTGTGTATTCTGAATCATATCTGCTTCTGCGTTTGAATTAAGCTCGCGTCTTTCGCTGTTTTTATCAACTACGGGACACGAAGAAGTCTTTTCATTACTTTTCTGTGCAGCATTAGCTCCCTTCGTCTAGTGGAACAATGAAAATATTCGTCAGTAAACAGCTGAATTTTCCTCCGCTCCTACTAGCTGCTCCGAAATCACATGAAATTTAACAGCTACACTGTTATCTACCAAAAGGTGAGTCAGGCGGTAAAACTTTAATTAACGCGAACATTTCACCATTATTAGTTTTATTTAAATAGGATCTGATGGCGTTCTTGTCTTCAGCTACCGTTACCTTCACTGACAACTCAGTTGGTCTGGCCCGGGTTGCTCGAAGCATGGTTAGTGCTAACCAGCGTTAAATACCATGGAAACCTATACATTTTGATACCTCTTAACCAACGGTTAGCGCTAACCAAGCTTCGAGCAACCGGCCCCTGCAGAGCGCTGTAACGCCGGGTATCGCATGGTCATGGGTTCGAATCCAATCTAAGCCTCACTTTCAACATTAAACGGGAAAAATTAAACTTAAGAACGTTACTCGACGTTTCGAACATCATTATCAAGAGTGAGAAATGTGAAGTTTCAAAGTTGTTAAAAGAGTTGAAGTTTGAATTGCGTTCGTGCATGCTTCACTATATAAAGTAGATGTCGGGCGAATCGAGTCCAGTTGAATGTTCAGTGACGATTTGAGTTCTTGCATAAATAGCATTTTCGTAAACATGGCATTCGAATTCATTTCCGCATTTTTTAAGGACCGTCCGTAAGGGTTGGCTTCTCAACCCCATGTCGTTTCATTAATTATTTATGCCTCCCGATCGACAAATTTGAGCTTGAACTCTTTAACAACTATGAAACTTAACATTTCTCACTCTTGACAATGATGATCGAAACATCAAAAAGTCAAGCGGCAGAAAGTTGGGGTCATTCCCATTCGCGCGCTTCTACGTTATCATTTGACGTCGCGTTGTCTTTGCTAAATCTGTCTTACTGTAGCTTTGATGTCTGTGATAGTCCTATTTCGTAAATCGTCCGTCCGCAATTCAAATATATAAATTTTTAAAACATATTCTTTTTCATGTAAATGAATTTTGATGATGTAAATGGGGCTTAAGCTATGTAAGCCCATTTCACGGCCTAATACGTCATCTTAGCAAAGAAAAGTGACGTCACAAAAAAATCAAAAATTCGAATTTGCGAAATTATGGGATTGATTGCGATGTTTAGAAAGAAAGTGAAGAAAATTGCCCATTTCCCGCAAAAATCAGTGCGTTAGCTCTTATGACTGTATACAAATCCCTCTAAATTTTATTTGGTTAGTACGCTTTACGATCCACGCCAATTTTGTAATGATTTATCAGGGGATAACGACGTTTATATCTCACCACCAGATTACAGTAACCCAATGATTTTTGGCATTGCAGGTGGGTATTTTTCATCATGTTCTTACTCACCATCCCACACTTCAGTTTTGGTGACTTTATCACTTCTTTGCTCTGATGAATAAAGTTTTGGAACTAAAGGAAGATTGACAATTAATACGGATTTAAGCGTTCATACCTGATCCATATCTGTGCTCGTCTCTTTTGCTCCTTTATGCAAGGCACGGCAAAGATTTTCAAGCTTTTCATTCTTGGCACGTAATGCAGAAACTTCGTTCTTCAGCTTTTCGCGCTGGCAGAAGGAGACAAAAAATTGCAAAGATCAATATTAGAAAACACAACGAACAATTAATATCCTTGTAAAGTCAAAATCCCTAAAGTACAAGCAATAAGCAAGCAAATAATAATTTGGCTTTTCTAGAAAGGACAAATGTCGAACCAGTCACCTTTTTAGCCAGACAAAACAGAAGAGTGGTCAGACGGACAGACAGTATGTTGACTCTTTCTTTAATTACTAAGCAAATGATCAGCCTCAAAATGATAATCTCGGGGTTTTGATCAGTATGATTCGTCGGACATTCGCAAATTTTAGTAGGACATTGTCGTATGGCCGACTGTTATTTGCCGACATAAGCACCCCTTGGGAGTGAACGAGTTTACTCAATTAAAAGTGAATAACTTCACTCACTTCGTCCACCATTTGAACTAAAGAGTGATTGCTGCTCTCGCACTTTGATTTCCACGTATTTCGTTCCTTTTCTAGTTTCTTAATCGTCTTCGTCATCTGCAAGAAGCAATTCAAAACAAGCATATCAGAAAACCACACAACTTATTCGCTATCACTGGTACTACCATTGATTGTACCTGAAATTTTCATTTTTTAACAACACCTGCTCTCATTGGCTACTTTAAGGGCATGGCGTCACACACAGCGAGTAAATTGTTTCCCGCCAAACTCTCTGGACGAGCCGCATCACAAAACCTAGTATGACGTCATGATAGCGCACTGTTTCCACAAATTTTCAACGTTTTCACCTTTTCCTTCGCAATTCGATAGTAGACATCACTTTAATCTTGGTAATAAAAACTGAAATTTTCAGTGTTAACACATCATATCAGACGTCAGCAAATATCGTGTGATCGACTTGATACTTTGCTCAATAGCATATTAGAATTCAGATTTTAAGATTACCAAAGAAGTCGAGGGTTCACACGCGAGTCTAAAAAAGTTAAAGTCAGGGCGGATAAAGGTTGGGCGGTGAAACGAGCGCGTCCGAGCAAAAAGGTGTGATGCAGTGGACTGGAACTCTGCTTAGAGCTGTCGCTTGTTTTCGACTTCGGTCAGGGCTTGCGATGTGGTTTGTACATTAGACACTGCCGCTGTCACTGAATTATGGCGGCTTGACTTGTTTTCTTGTACTTCTTCCTCGTTCCTTTGTGCTGGTACGCTGTCTCCGAGAGGCAAATGTTGCTATTTTTTGCGGGAGGTTTAGTTGGAGTAGACAAACATCCCTTTCAAAGGGTTTCTTTTATTACTTCCATGACTCTACCACTAAATTATATTTTCGTTCTGCTACTCGCCAATGTCGATGTTATTCCAAAAACAAAAACAACTAAGTACTGTCTAAAACACGAAGGAAAATCTCATCCATGTCATCCATGGCAAAACTAAAAGACAGCAGATCGTGTTTCATAACTAGATGACGTGTATTTTATAAATGCGTGCAGCTCGTGCAAGGTGAAATTATGCAAATTTCAATCACCATCATCCTTCTTTTTAATTTTGAAAAAAACATCTCATACGTCTTTCTGTTTCTTCAAAACTTCAAAATTAGTTTCCCCTCAGTTTTTACTGTTTACCCTGTTTTGTTTTAGAGAGAAAAACGGAGAAAAAACCTTACAACTAACCTCAATAAATTTTGTTTACATGCGGTTGCCAGATTTGCAACGCATTGTGCGAATCGCCATGGCGCGTTGCACCACCGTTGCACCCGAGAAGCAAAGTTTGAAGAGGTACAACGCCACTATATCAATATATATCAATCTAATCTTTTGCTATGTTATATAAAATTTATCCCCCTTTAACATATGTAAAAATTGAGGTTAAGAAGTGTTAAGCTTTTGCAAACGAAACGGCGAAAGACGATTAGGTGATATTTAGTGGAAGGAGGAGGTATTCAACACTTTCAAATTAAACTCAAATTTTGGCATTATACGACAAACAAGTTTGACTTATAGACTTACAGACACAAACATATGAAACTGTTTATTGATATTGTTATGAAACGAATTTATCTTTTTAACATTGTAGCCTGAAATTACAGAAAGAAAATAGGATTTCCGGTTTCCAAAAAGGAAAATTCCGCCGGCCTTCAAGCGCACCGGAAGCGCGGAAAGAGCGCTCGTGCCAGTCCTACTCCGCATCACACATTAAATGAAGAGCGGAGCGCTCGTTTCACCGCCCAACCTTTATCCGCCCTGGTTAAAGTCGCCCAGCAGGAGCCGTGTCAGAAAACCCCGCAATATTTCAGTAAAAAGGGACAAAATTACGCACATTTAGGATTGTAGGATGCAAATATAGGGCATATACTTCCAAAGCTCCACTCGACGTAAGTAGCTACCCTCTCGAGAGACGCGAAACGCGAATCGTGTCGCGCGCGTAACCTACATGTGTACGAAACGTATCAAAGGCTACTTTCATTGCTGGTGATTACATTTTAATACGACCCAAAATTAATAACAATCAACCTAAAGGACTAACACGGTACACATATTTAAAGTATATGATGTAAAACAGTATGTTTTTTTAATTAATGTTTTTAACCGTTACCTTATCCATTTCTTTCTTAAAAGTTGAAAACACTTCATTGCTCTTGTTAAGAGTTTTCTGAAATTCGTCAAATCTCTCTGCATACATAGCCAGCTGCAATGAAAATACACATTCCAGTAAAAGGGAGAAGTAGAAAGTAAAATTAATTTGATTTGCAAGGCGTGCCAGGGCTCTCTGTTGCCATGCAGGCTGTTTATCTGTTTAAAAGTCTGATGCACTTATTACCAACAGTGTATCAGCATATAGAAAGGGAGTAGTGGAAAATCTGATTTTTTTGCTACATAATCACCAGAAAGTGCTCTTGTATTGGAAAGAGACTACCAGCAGATTTTTCTCAAAAAAATTAGAATACCCACAGCCAATGCAGATCTCTATCTAATGGGTTTTGATGGGTAACAATAGTCTTGAGTTCCCCTCCATATTGTTAATTTATAGTGCTCTTGGAAGTAAATTACTTAAAGTGCAAGATCATAGAATTTGTAGGAAGGTTTCTAGTATCCCGAACCACCCTCTTAGAGCTAACTTCCCTGAGACTAAGATTACAAGATACAACTAAAGGAATAAATCTCCCGCAATGCCCGCCATTCACACGAACCGCTTTAAGAATACATTCTTTAATAGAATTGTCTTCAAGTATAATGTAGCTTTGTAAATAGTGTACTTTCTGTATTCGATTTTTGTATTTCTTTCTATGTATATACCAATCTCATTTAGAGACATACTTTACCCCATTAACATTATTTAAATTGAACATAAGATATTTAATTTTATCTTTGGAACAATAAAGACACTTTAGTTTTTTTTTATTTATTTATAAATAACAAAAGCAATGTAACCGGTAAGTGTTAGTTACCTGGGATTTCATCTCTGTTTCTTGTTTGGTTAAAAGTTCACACTGCTTCTTGTACTCTTGAGCTTGTTTAATCAACTAGGTGAGCGATAAAAATAAAAATAAAAATAAAATAAAATAATACAGACACTGTTCGGTACAAAAGGGAAAAAACACACAAAATTACTATGAAAAACCTGGCGGAAACCAAGAATCACTCACAGGCAATTTCAGCTGTATCATTCAATCAAGTTTTTTAATGTTAAAAAGAAAAGCAAAAAAGGGAGACTGTGGACACTACGCGATTCACGTCCAACTTTTTCTGAGAAACCAACTTCTGAATGACAACTGGCTCACAAAGAATATTACTTACTATTTGATTTTCTGACAAAGTCTTTTTCTTGTCCTCATCAAATTGCAAATGTTGCTGAGCCATCTTTGCTTCTGCCAACTGAAGCTCCAGTTGCTTGTGTTTAAATACTTTTTCTACATGCTTTTAGAAAAAAAAAAAGAGAAAAAAGCTACATGTATTTATGTCCCTGTAGTTTAGTTCTATTTCAACACAAAAAAAACGAAGATTTATATACTGCTCTAACCCCTTCTACAGGCAGACTTATAATGAAGTGACTAGCTTGCAATTCCTGAAAAGAATTCCAACTGAATCTACATTATCGTACTTCCATTATGGGCTGTAAATTATAAACTTTGTTGAATGTTGCATTACTGCTTGCAGATGTTTCCTATTTCCACACGTCTGTATGCAGGCCATAAATGTATCAATAATTATGTTATAAGAACAATAACAATTTGATCCTCACCATAATTGTTTCAAAAACAGTGTGCACAAGTACAAAATGTAGCAAATAAACAAATAATAAATCATTGATAACTATTCATATCAAAAAGTAATAATAATATTTCAAAACTGTATGCCTTAGATTTTGTTAATTGCATCCTTAGTAAATAATATTAATGCATGTTGCAAATCAGTTTTGCCATACTGATGTTACCTCAGCTTGTGAAATGGATAACAACAACAAACTTATTCACTTTTATCACACTTTTTAAAACTCATTTTACCTCCTCTCGAACTTCATATTGCTCAACTAGTCCTTTAAGTCTGGCAGCAAGACTGTACAATAAAACAGAAAGACATAACAACAGTAAAATCAACAAGTTACTTGCTAAACATCAAATGTTTAAAAATACCCAGCACCAAAACTACACAGTAACAATAATCTAAAACTTGCCTACTTTAATACCCTTAAGAAAGTCACAAGGTTCATGTAAAGAGGATGTAAAAAAAAAGGAAGGCCAAAGACCAATTGCCAAAGCATTCTTTATTGAATCAGGTATACAACAAAGATTCCAACCCTCCTGATTTGATTAGGAGTCTCCTAATGAGTTGCTATCCCCTGTCCTAGTGATTTACAAAAAGGTCCCAGTTTCTGGGCTACTAAATAAAGGGCTACTGGCTGTAAAGGGTAAAATCAGTTTTAAACAAAAACTGGAAAAGCCAGCTGTTGAGGTATTACTTGAGCAAACAAAATGGAATGTGAAAAATCATTACTGATTCTTTTCTGGGGCCAAAAAACCAAATCATGCACATTGGATCAACTGGCAGGGTTGACCAGACAGTGAAGAATGTCTGTAGAACTGAATTTTTCATGAGAGTCTGGTACCAGGAAAACTTATTCAGTTCTTGGCAGACACAAAAAAGACAGTTAAGTCACGGCAAACCAAAAAGAACAAGTTTCTTCTTTTAGAGTTGGAATTTCTAATATTAATGCTTGGATTGATAACAAGACAGGGAAAGACATTCCCAACGTGTAAAGCACACAAAAAAGTAAAGGCACACACAAGGGCCTAAGGCCCAAACAGACAGAGCTCATCCTGGTTTCATTAGCATGAAGCATGCCTTGGAGTACTGCTACTCCCCCCGGACGGGTTGCTTGTCTATCGGAGGGTTACACCCCAACAGATGTCACCGATACCCATTTATACACCTGGGTGAAGAGAGACAAAGTGGAGTAAAGTTTCTTGTCTAAGGAAACAACACGACTGGCAAGGCTTGAACCCCAGACCTCCAGATCCGGAGTTCAAGGTGTTAACTACTCAGACACACACACCTCCAATGTGTAAAGTACAGGTCAGTAATATTACAAATGCTCAGTTTTACTAACTCATTGTTCTCATTCTTCAACTGTTGGTTGGCCTTGTAATTTTCTTGCATCTGTTCTGAGATATCATTGATTGTTGTTTGAAACTTTTCTGAAAGCTCCTTTCGCTTGGCTTCCTCTTCTTGGATTCGTAATTGGCTCTCTTCCTGTCAAAGGAACAACCAATAAAAAAACTGTTACTCAGATGTTTTATGCAAGAAAATTTACATGAAATACTTGAATTACAGTGCACATGTGGAAGGAACCATATTAAATGCATGTAATGAATGTGAGGTGGAGAATAGTAAGCCATAGTGTGGTAAATGTGGATAATGGTTGGGGTCAAGGGACCTGAGCATTTGCAGGGTAAGATAGGTGTGACTCTTTCCCTGAGATGGAGAAAGTTAAATCACCTTCAGGCTGATAAAATTAAAGAAATAAATTACCTTTATGACTGTGGCATGACTAAAGCATATTACTGCTACATTATATCTTATTATTGTTGTTAAGGTATAAAATGTAAATTACATGTATTAGTATGTCTGGTATATTTATTTAACAAAAAATGCAACCCTAGGGCTTGATAAATACTTGTATTCTACTAGCTTTTTCTTTGGACAACAGCTCTGCTTAATAATGAAGTAATGACTTACCTAGACCCTTGCCCACTGGGCAAGTGAGATGAACATTAAAAAGTTACTTAATTACTCTGTAAGAAAATTTAATTTACAAAGTATTCCCAGATTGGGTATTTTTGAGCCCTCAGTACTCTCCTCTTAGAATTTCATAACCATTCTTCACCTTGACAAGTTTACTGTGACGTTGTAATTCACGACAAAGACTTTCCAGTTTGCTTTTGGCCAGACTTGCTTTATTATATTCTGACTGCAGGTGATCCCTTTCCTTCACAACCTGTTTATTAAAAATTAAAGAAACAAAAAAGGTTAATCTTCCCTTGAAACTCTTGTTAGACTATGAAAACCTGCAGGAACACCACAAAAACTGTAAGAAACAATTAGACTACTTGTTCTCATTTTGCTAAGGCCCCCTTTGCAAAATTTTGTTTGTTTTGCAAAAACACTCTGTCAACAGGAAGCCATTTATGGTGCAAATGATTCTCTTGCCTGCCAAAATTTTCTCAACTGTCACCACACTTCAAAGATGTCCTGGAGAATATTTGAAGGCCAACATTTTTTTGTCAAGTGACAAGATTCTGTGTTTCTTGACAGCTGTCCTTCACTGGGTCACCTAATTTTCTAAACATGACCAAGTCCCTTGAATTAAAGTTGCTGGTTATACAAAAAATTTCTTGTCTCTCTGATGCAAACAAGTTTTCAAAAATGAAACATTGGTGATTAAAAAAATTTCAAATTTTTTTGCAAACACCAAAGTAACTCTAGTTTTTGTTGTAGTGTGAACAGGGCTTAAGAGTCAAATTAATAGCTACCTCAGCAATACACACCTCATTGACTATTGAAATATACAATACTCAATTTTTGAGGCTCATTTTATTGTTAATCATAGTGACTGGTTAACCTTTTCTATTCTCTTCTCTAATTCATCTTTTCTTGCTTCAGTGGTTCTATGATCTGCTACCTTTTAGACAAAAAGATAATATCACATAATCATTATCTCCTTTAGATATGAAGCCTCATAAAAAAGCTGAAAATCCTGACCATATTGAATGTTTAGAAAATGGAATAATGCATGTAAATATCAAGTTAAATGATATTAACTTTATTGGAGCTTTAGAAAAGCCAGTGTTCCATTGCTTTGTTGGCAACTTCATGTGGCACCAGTGATAAATAAATGTCACCAAGTATAAAATTTTGGCTGTCTCTCTGCAGCAGTAAACAAAACCTGGTCCTCATACAAGAGAACAATTAAATTGCTTTACTTAAAGGAAATTGTAGTAAAGTCTATCACTTACAATAGCAAAAATGATGTTTTCTAAAAAGTTACAATTTAATATTAAAAGTTTTTTGACATCTTTGGCAACATTTGGAAGCAATGTTGAAATGTCTTCTAGCTCTTTGGCAATCTTTTGAAGTTGCTGGAACATCTTGGCAATGTTTACAAGCCGTTGACACATTTTCAGAAAAAATAAGGTATGGAGATGAAAATGCTGGTTAATGCTGGTTTTTAATATTTTAAAAACTGAGAATACAGTATTCCCTCCCCCCAAAAAATTTCAGATCATGTATTTCATGGTTTATGCCTAATTTGCCAGACAACGCTGCGTTCTGATTGGTTGAGCTAATACTAGGCTATATGTTACATGTATAGCCCACTAGTAGCAAAAAACGCAGGGTTTTTGGCGGCAAAAAAGAATTAAAGTCTACCTTTAACTAGCTAAAATTTTTTTATTCTCGATATTTTTGACCCACTACTGTAGTTGGATTTTACTAAAACAATTATTCCTCTCGCCCTCATGGTCTCTGAGTCAATAGCCCATGAGGCCGACATTGCCTCAGAGCCCATTGGGGCTCGAGGAATAATAATATTAATTAGTCAGGTGTACATTGTACATGTACCAATTAACATCAGCATCAACACTGCTAAAAGTGCACTCTTCAGGAGTTTTGTAGTGACATAATATCTATGTGTACATGTAAGTAACAGTAATACATTATGTAAATTTGACCAAAAATATTGCTGTCACTCCTGAGCATAAAAGATTGGCTAAATTTAAAAGAATCTTGAACATATTAAAGCAGAACTTTCTGTTCATACCCTGGACCTTGGGAGGGAAAAACTTCAGGACAATATAACAGACATGAAAAGTCTACAATATCATGCAAATAACTTGTATTAGACGAAACGCTTCGTTTGTGTTAGTTGATATTTACCGCTACTTTTGATGTGCGTTATTTAAGACACTGAACCAAGTAGTAACGTAGAATATTATTTTCGTTCTACTGGGAGGTAAAATTTACAGACTATAAACATGACGCAACGTAACCAATTGGCATAGATTGGCTTATTATAATTCTGTTCAGTTCGTGTATAATTATTTTCTTGTCAGTTTGCTAAACGGATTAACTAATTTGCTTTTAAAATCCTAGCTAAATGAACAATCTTCAGGGGAGAGGTTAAATTTTAGTTAAAATTATAAATGTTCTTACCAATTGTAAGTACTTTCTACCAAGGGCGTCAAGTTTTGATTCTGGATTATCCACATCCTCAAAAGACTTAAAAAGCAACTCTGAAAATATATGCATTTATCGTATGCAATGTCAATAAGCCTCACGCAACATGACTGCAGAAACTAAAACATTTAAAGCTTATTAGCTCGTGCACGAAGACAGAAAACTGTTGTTAGAAAGCGATATCCTAAGACACGTATGAAGCAAAGACTTACTAAGCTTTTTCTCCTCTTCTTTAAGCTTCTTATTGCTTTTTACTGGCTTGGCTTCAGTCTTTTTTGTCGTCGTATCCGTACTTTGCAAGGCTTTTCCATTAGTTTGTAAATCTGATGAGGATGTTTTACTCGTAGTATCGCACACTTCCGGGCGATCTGCGGCGTCCATATGAGATTCGCTATTCTGGAAAAATATAGTCCAAAATCAGATATACCAAATTCTGTGCTTCAGAACTTTTTACAAAAGGAAAGACGGACGAAGATCGAGGCATTTTACCGGCTTCGGCTCTGAGGCCACTACTCCATTTTCTTCAGTAGAACTCATATCAAAAGGTCGATGAAATTCAACTTCTTCGAACACAGACAAGTGTGGACAACTGCTTCGTTTTAACGTTGGTTACTTGAGCCCGCGATACTTTCCGGCAGCGCAACAATTACAATACTAATTCCCAGGCCCCTCCAATCTCGTACCCAGAGTAAGCGAGAAAACTTTGGGTAATGGGGCTTTCTTGCTAGGACAACTGGGCCCATGGCTCTAATCCCAAGCAGCCAATGAAATTCTCACAGTCTCACCCGCAGTCTTCTACAAATGAACTTAGGATCCCAAGAAAGCGGAACATCTCCCAGCTGAGTCAACTTTGGCGAGCGCTTATATGAAAAAAAAAAACCGTTTACCCCTTTTTTCGAACCAACAGTGCCGGCTATCCTATGCTCTGGTTGTTTCGCCTTGACCGAATTGACCCGGCTGAGTAGTAGTCAGCCAAAATTGTCAAAGTGTTTATATGGTGAAAATAAGTGAAAATATGACCAGGCATGGAGGTTGACTTACACCAACGAAAAAGGGTGACCCCTCTAGCCGAGCCAATTTTTTGTTTCTGATGTAAACAGCTCGCCAAGTTTCTTTTTTTTTTAAGGCTGTGAATGTAGGAAAAATTGGTTCGCTAAGGGTATCCCGGGAAGACTCACTTGACAAAATATCGTGAATTAGATCACTGTATTGCATTGTTTTACGTGCTGCTTTGAAACTCCACGATGCCAGATCAGACTGATCGTATCTAACGTGAGCTTACATGTATATTTCATCAAAAGACAACTCATAATAGCTTTGCACTCATTGAAATACTGTAAGGGATCTCTAACTTATTGTTTGACGTTAGTTCAGCGGTGGAAGAGTTGATTTTTTCCTAGCGGGTTTTCAAAATACAGGGGCACCCAACGACAATTTGGGAAAAATATCTGTTCGGAAGACGATTTGAGATCTAGAATTTTCGGAACATTTGTGGTAAAATTTCTTGCTTGCATGCCTCTCCTAGGATTTTCGAACAAACAAAAAATGGTATACTTGCCCATTTTTAACTAATTTTTACCCTAAAAAGTTCACCTTGAATTTTCGGGAGCCTATTTTCTGGCTAAAATTTTCGAAAAGGTAAGTTTTGACCCGGGGGGGGTACTCCCATACATTACCTATACGGGTATGTGCCGCCCAAAGGGGTCGTGATTTTGAAGCTCCTGATTTAGAATGGGGTATCCATTTCAGAGGCGTTTTCTTGAACGGGGTATAATATTTCGAACACACGAAAGCTCCACTTTTGTAAGCAGCCATTTGAAAGTATTCAAGGACAGATTGCTTTTAAAAATACGGTTCAATGCAACAAGCAAACCGTTGTACTCTCGTTGAACGGAGTATAAAAAATTGGCCCATTTCTAGAACGGGGTATCAGTTTTAGGGCGAATTCTAGAACGGGGTATAAAAAAATGGCCCATTTCTATAACGGGGTATCAATTTTGGGGGAAACTTTTCCTAGAACGGGATGCCAATCTGGAGTCCCGGGCGGCACATACCCACCCAAAAAATACCCAAGTGCCCCCCCCCCGGGAGTTTTGATCCCTATAATTTTGGGATCACTAGACTTTCAGCTAGGAAATCCGAACAGATGAAACATTTTTAGGGGATAAAAATATGCCTATGATCTACCGTTTAAATACTAAAATACATTCAACAATGCTATGTTTAAGTGGTTTTGAACTATATTCTCGTTGGGTACCCCCGAAAATAGGCTATAAGTGATTGCTTGTGAGATATATTCATGGTTGAATAAGAAACAAACCTAAAGGCAAATAAGTAAAAAGTTACCAAGTATCTCAAGAACAGGCCAGTTTTAAGTGACCAAAAAATCCATTCCTATTTATATTCACGACTAAGAGACGGGAATGGGTGTGCAGCTCGAACTAAGGAGCCTGAGTGTTTAATGCCGTCCAAATATCATACAAAGTTCAACATCATAACTAAAGAATGGTATACAAATATTCCTAAATAAAGTCACTCAGGCTAAACTATTCACGTGCGCCGCCTCATACGAAAACCCAAAAAACCCAATGGGAAAAAATTGGGAACGTATTCCCCAACCGATGCGGTCGCACAACCTCTGGGGGTTAAAGGCAAAAAATTAATCGATAGATGAATAAATTAAAGTAAGATATAAAAATAAAAGTTGATAGTTCGAGAGCTGAGATGAATAGATTACAACTGTCAAAACCTTGACACTTAATAACAATAGAGTCAATTAACGCCATAACGGCTCACGTGCGTTCATACCAATAGGAAAGTATTTACATTCTCTGTCACTGCCACTACGTTAAGCTCCGCCGAATGTAAATACATCATTTGTCCGGCGAGGCAGCGTGTTGCATTATTTTCTTTCGCCCAAATGAAGCAAGCGTCACTGAGCTGCCATGCCGCGAGTGATACCACTATTTATTCTATTTTCCCGCGCGCCCCTGTTGTTGCTCTGGGCCGCACCATGAAGAGTCTATTTATTAAGAGCAACTCTACCATGCTTGGAATGAACAAGCAGCTGACTGAAATTTTCTAGAAAGACACTTATGCATTAGGCCTGGTTCAGACGCCTCTTCACTAATGTGCGGAACCTTACTGACGAATTAAGTACGGCAAAAGAGCGGTGTCTGAATCAATTTGGTGCACGGGGGGTGACAGCTCTAACAAGCGCTGTTTCGGGAGAAAAACAAATTTAATCCGGGAACCTGGAGATTTTGCCGGGAATCGGGAAACCTGGGAAATTTTTCGGGAAATATGAGATATTTTCGGGACATTGAGCAAAGATTTGATATTACATGCTATCAAACAATATATATACAGTGATATGCACCCAGTGTATGCGCTGTATTCTATGTATTTTGACACTTGAAAACGGCTGAACTTCCCATGATATGAAATGACCAATCAGCAACATTTCCAACTAAAATAGTATGAAGTTTGAGTGCGATTGACCACGTGCAATCCCCAGCGGATTGACACAAGAACCGTACCGGTGCAAGGCACACACTATCAGTTCACACCAGATAGTTCAGAGGTATTTTTACGCTGCACGTTAACGAGTTTTAAGAGCACATTCCACTGATTGCATACTGGAAAACTTGAAAGAAGTACGTAAGAAGTATGTAAGAAAAAAACGAAACTCATTTAACCTTGTTAAACACAAATGAGGCCATAAAAAGTAGTATTTCTGTGAAGACCCTTTAATCATCCTGATCTCGTCGGGGTCCTTCCGATTTTGCTCGAAAACTGTCCCGAATCCCGATCAATATGCGTTCGGGATAGGAAAATTTCAGATTTCGACAGTAGTTCTGAAATTTTCAATGACAATGACACCACACAGAGTATACTTAGCTGAAAGTGATATCCAGAGCAATTTCAAAAATCGCACAACTTGTACAAAATAAAATTGACTACTTCTACGTGAAGTCACGCATATAAAAATAAGCATAAAAAGGACAATTGATTTAGAGAACATTTTGAACAGAATTTGTCCTCTCAGAACACTAGAAATGGCGTTTCAGAGCACCAAGATTTCAAAATTTTCTGGGGGAGTATGCCCCCAGACCCCCCTAGTGGTTGGCCCCTTCACTGCTCGCCTGATTCATCGGTGATTAAAAAACAAAAAAAACACGATTTTATATACTTAAAAAGTTTGACAGTCTTTCTGTGTTAACATGATACCCTCTAAACAAAAAAATAACCAGGGTTAGATAATTAACAAGTTACATAATTAAGAAGAAGCCGCAAAAATCTCTAATCAAAATTTTAATTTTACTTTGTTAACACAATTTTGGGAAGTTAAACATTTATGGGGAATGCCACCGAAAAATTCGGGAGGGTCGACGAAATTTCCGGGAGGACAGAAAGTTATTCACAGGACTGCCCAAACAGCCTTTGTTAGAGTTGTCACCCCCCGTTGGTGCGGCAGTTTTAGTTTGATGCGGCAAAAGCGTTAAATTCGACAGAATCTGTCGAACTTTTGTCGAACTTAACTTAGGCTCGAGACACGGTGCGCCGTCCGAATCAGATGTCGCGCCAGTGTCGCTCCAAAGTCGAACATATTCAATTAAGTTCAGCACATGAAAAGTACAGCGTCTGAACCAGGCCTTAATTTTTTGGCAAGAATTCATTTTTGCTGAGAATGTTCGTAACCCTGTGGGAAGGGAGGACTTCCTTGAGCACGGACCCTTAGCGTGATGGCACTGTCACTTGTTAAGTAGTATAGGGCGCACCGAATCAACTTTTTTAGCAAGGGACTCTCGTTAACTTGCGGGGTAATACTATATCGCCAATACCGCCATGAATCTTCTCATATGGGAATATTTTTTTGCGGTGGAATCTTGCCTCGATTTGGAATAAAGTACCGTCGACTGACGTGTTAGCAATCCTTGTACACCACCACATTTCTTTTGTTTTTCTGTTTGCATCACTGCCATTATACCACCCCTCCCCACCAACACCACCGTCACCTTCAACACAACCACTATAACGACGTCTTCCCTCCACCCCACGAATTTTTATTTTTCCCTCCGCCGGAACAACCATCACCATCACCTACATTGTCACTATATTTCTATTGTTTACCCTCCACCACCACTAACATTGCAAGTTAATGAGTTTTCACCCTGTCTTAATGGCGTCATAGGTGTTGATGAATTTCTCCGCAAGTAAATGAGATTTTCCAGCGATACGCCCTATACTACTGACTGGTCGCGTTTTTCTGACGTTTCTTTCATCTCATACAGTAATTATAATGGCTGTAATGGTCCAAACACAAGTTCCACAGACATTCTTCTTTTCTGACGCTTTATTTTTGTATTTTCTGCTAAGGGCCACACACCATAAGAACGTAAAGAATAAACTATGCGATGACACCGGTCAAATGACATTTTCATAACTGTTCAGAAGGAGGAGGTTCGTTCATGTCATCCCAGTGTCATCTCTTAGTTTCGTCTCAACGCAAGAAGGCTGCCAAGACATCTGCTTCAACTACGTTGCCTGAAAGAAAATGAGAATAACAAAGCGCATAGTTAAGGCGCTGTATACCATGATTTAGCTTACGGTTATCTCTTGGAGACTACCAGCGAACAGAGGCTGGCGAGATGACCTATGCCGAGCTTGCCTAGCAGTTGTGTTTCCGCGCGCGTTCGTTCGGGAAGCCGAATTGAGAGCCAAAACATGAAATCAGGGGGAGAGGGAGAAAGAAAAAGGAAAGGCTGCCTTTCCCCCTCACCCTCCCCCTTTTTTCTCATTTTCGCTTTTGTTCCAACTTTTGCAGCAAACCCGCTTAAGAACAGTTGGCCTGACAGTTGTTATAAAAGAGCGAATGACCAAAATTAGAAGCAACCGGCTAGAACACAGTTATGAAAGAGAAAAGACACAATTATAAAAATGGATGGGCAAAACTATACAAAAGAAATAAGACAAAATTTTTTAAACTTTTCGTAAATCAAAATGCAACCAGAAGCTGATGGAAATGAGTGCTAAAAAGTGTATTTTTACGGAAAGAGAGCACCTATGCCAGTGACGGATCTGATGGAAGCGAGGGCGGGGACCGTGGACTAAGCCTATAGTATTCGGAGCACGAGGAACTGTCAAGAAAAAAATTTTTCTAGAAGAAGTCCCAACTAGGTTTTTCACAAGGTGAGGGTATCGGTCATCTAAAACCTGAAAAATGAAAATCCTTTCTACCCATCAGTACCATTCACCCACAAGGGACTGCCTACTTTTGCAAATTCAAACAAATTCATATTTATACCCCCCTCCTCCACTTGCTTTTCCAACGAGCGTGAACCTAGCCCACCCAGTGAATGTGATAATAATCCAATCGTCATTTTTGTTTCGCTTTATCAATATGCTCCTCTATGACGTTTTGCCGTGCTCATCCGCGAGAAGGAAACATTCCCGAAGTCGAAATAAATTCATACAGATAGACCCTATGTGTTGGTTAACTCACTCTTCTGCGCCCACTTGGTGAATGTAGGCTTTTTGCTGTAAAGAATAGGGTTCTTGTGTTGGAGACTCTTCTCCCATTCGAAGCCTTGGGTAGCAATTAACATCCACCCGGCATTACCGGAAAGCCCCCATAGTTCCGGTTGATGAAGAAGTGCCGGTTGTAGTTTGGCTCTCCACGAATTGAAAAGTAGTTCTTTGACAATGTTTTTATATCTGTCCAGCCCGTAGTCTATCTAGTTTCGGGTAAGCATTCCCTTGGGTCACAATGATTTTTCTCACGTGATGTCGAGTAGAGAAGTTGTTATCGCGCTTTCTCATGTAACAGTATTCCCCAGGCAACATGATGCGAAAACAAGGTGGTTTACTGGAAGCTGGCGCATTATTAAGCTCAGCGTTAAAAACTTATCCACAATAGACAACTAACAGAGGAAGTATCCCCTCTATAGTAATTACCATTAGATGTAAAGACATCTTCGATTCAGCCCATAAGGTCTGTCAAGTTAACCTCAGCAAACGTAAAGGTAGCGCGAATAGCGGCAAACGAGGATGTGACGAAAACATGTCTCTAAAAGAGATCGAAAAAAATTTTTCATTGAACGTGGAGATTACTTGGAAGTTGGCTGGGAAACTGAGTGTCAGATCGCATTCATGATGAGGCTGAATAACGAAAAACGGCTTCCTTATCTCTCTCTCCAGTTATCCTAAGGAAAAAAAGAATATAAAGAGAATATCAAAAGAACGATTAAGTTGAAATTTTTCCTTTTCCAGTCGAATACCAAAACAGTTCCAAACAGTAGCTGCCGAGACCTAAAGGTGATCAGTATATATTGGTCAGGCTCACGAGTATAATACAATTAATGTTATTCGCTTTTTCAGTATTCTCCTCGCAAAAGTCTCTAACAAGCAAATTAATGTATTCTTGTGTATATGGAAGTATTTTTCCTTATTAATATTAAGCGCTTACTATAAACGAGGTTTTTATTTAGGGTAATTCCCTTGAAAAGAATGCACTTTCTTTAACTCTACACAATTGATGGTCACATATGAGAACCTGAAAAACTGCAATAACTGAAAGATGGGGTAACCATGTTGGTTTTTACCCTACTTAACCGTCATTTTTAAGCGTTTTCACAGGTAGCTCAAGCTATGATCATCGGCGAGCACCGGCATTGTTGCGTAACATTCAAAATATAAGGATTTGTATGGGGAAAAAACCTATCCTTTCTCTAACCTACGAAAATGAAAGGATTTCAATAAAAAACAGCTCACCTTACCAAAAATGTGTGTAACGTCTCTCCTGTGTGGTCCACGGGCAGATTTATGGCCGTTTTATGGGTTTTTATGTGAACGGTTTTCTCTCTGTTAAACCGTTTACATAAAAACCCATAAAACGGCCATGAATCGGCCCGTGGACCACACAGGATCTAACACACATTTTAAGTAAGGTAAGCTGTTTTTTATTGAAATCCTTTCATTTTCGTAGGTTAGAGAAACGATAGGTTTTTCCCATACAAATCCTTATATCTTGAATGTTACGCAACAATGCCGATGCTCGCCGATGATCATATTTCGAGCTTGGGCTACCTGTGGTCTTTTCTACTAAGTTGCTCTCAAAGTTCGAAGCATAAAAACCAAATGTTAAATACTTGTTATTATATAGGATGAAACTACATATACTATTGAAACTTCGAGCCTGTTTGTTTGGCTGGGCAATAATTTTAGTAAAGTTATTTCCAACTGCCTGACCTTGCAAATAATGTAAGAAAATTAGAACTGATCTGCATCTTTATCTCACTTTCCGGTTCTGTGGCTTCATATTCAGAGTCTCACGTCATTCATATAAAATAATACAACTTCTACTATCATATATTTTTCTGCTTGAAAGAGGTTTTCAAATAGGACTATATTTTTCGTTGTCAATGAATGAGCTATAGTTACTTGATTAAAGAGTTACCGAAAGAAGGTCAGTGCGTTTGATATAAACATGACATGGCAATGCATTATTGAAACTCAGTGAAACCTAGGTGTTACTAAATTCTCTTTGGACTGAGCACTAAAATACAAATACTAACCAACACATAATTGACATAATAAGTGGCTTGAAAATTTCAAAGTTAACAAAAACTGTTTACTTAGTTAATTAAAAGTTCTGTGCTGCTGTTGTAGTGTACGCCGTGTTAGTCGGAGAGTGCATAAGAACGAGTAGTAAATGTTCTTTGTTGTTCTAATCTGATTCAACCTGCCACTTGAATGTGTATGTTTGTTCTTTACAGCTGTTTTTCGTAATTATTATACATTGTTCTCACTAGCGGTCTTTTTATTGGCTAAGAGCCTAAAGACTAGACAAGTTATTTGTTAGCAGATATCTGACTAAGTAAGTTGCGCGCGCCGTGCATTAGTAAAACAAAAGAATTGTATAATTCGTTCCCGTACCCAAAGATAATTGCTCTTCCCTAAGCCTTGGGGCCAAATATGAATTTTAATATACTGAAATTGGTCTATTTTAAGGTTTCATATTTTTTAGTAAGGAGGTAAAGGTAGTTAAACAAAGCAGTGACAACAGTAAAAACCTCTCGAATTAAAGAACCTGTATTTTCCCATCGATTTTCCCAAGTTATAATTAGCCTAAATAGGTTCTCACATAAACGGTAATAAGCACAAACCCGTCAGAAAGCCACTTGACTGGCTTTCTGACGGGTTGATTTGGCAAAATGGAAAGCATCCGCCAACGGAGTTTTAACAAACAGTTCAGGAAGTGCTTTCAGCTTATCAACCTGTCAACGCGCCCTCAACAATAAAACGGTATAAAATTAACGTATAAAGAATTTTTCATAGTCAAAATACTTTTAACCGTGTTGGATCCCTCAGGCGTAATGGAAAACTAAAAAGTCTATAATGCAATGGTATAAATTACTTCTACCTTAATCAGTATCTGATTAAGAAGCTTATTCGTGATGAAAGCTTCAGCATTATTATTTAGGGTCCGTCTTTACTTGGGTACTTAAACTAACTACAAACTTGTGTTATGTGAGAAATCCAGGGGTGAGATACGTTCTTGTCTGTATTCTTAGTTTATTTATCATAGATTTTGTCTGAACGGCGATAGGAGAATTTTTATAAGTTCTTAAACGGGTAAAAATTTTATGACGCGCCATTTTACTTCTCGAGTCACGTGTGATAAAATAAATGTCAAAACTATGCATAACAATCAAAGAAGCGCGTTTGGCACGTGATGTGACCATGTTATCATCCAGATGAAAAACGTCCTCTTTTCCATCCTTAATTTCTCTTTCTAAAATCGTTTTGTTTGAGACAGTAACATGATCAAACATTCACGACTCAGTATTTCATCACAAGATCAAACAAACGTCTCTGTCAGCTCTTTTCTTAATATTGTGATAAGACACTGTGGGATTAAAATGCTGGGCATATTACTTCCCGATCATTTCTGCATATGAATAAAGGTTAGGAAGCTATTAAATTCTAAATTGAGAGCCATTTGCATTTTAGCTCTCTGCTGGACCCGACCAGGTGGTGCCGGCTAGGACTGACTTAGTCACGTTCATAGGAGTAGTTGGCTAATAAACAGCTGCAGTACTATGAAAACCAGCCCCATTCTCCAAAGTTTATTTATGTACGTGTATGTGAATTTGGAATTAACAGCAGATGACGCTTCAGAGCATTGCTCGGTCTTTAAACAATCAAAGATACTGAATTTTTGAAAATGATTTCCCATCCTGAGTTTGTTGTCATTGCTTTTGCCTTTCGCTTTTTACTTGTCTGCTTGGCGCAAAACGAGGGAGAATTGAATTACTTGATGATCAACATTTTGGAATTGAACCAAAGTAGCTCCGACGAAAACGATTTGTCTTGCCTTCCGTCGAACACATGGAGAAATGGTACCATTCGTTCTACTGGCATTACAACAAACCTGACAGATAAGACGCCATCTAATCACACTGTGTTGACCCACAACACTCAAGATCCTACCACGATGGTGCCAACATCCCCTGGTGAAAACGTATCGACCTTTTCAAAGGAAGCTTGCGGCCTGTGGTCCCTACCGCTCTGCTCCCGATTAATCAACATAACATGGCTGTCATTTGCTCCTTTTCTTTTTCAGCCTAAAAACAACACGACACAAACTGAAACTGAGTTAGACGGAAAAGTCACCGGTGTATTCTACAGTATAATAGGGCGCGCTGTTCATTTTTGTTGCAAACATTTTGACAACAGGGGGACACGCTTGGAATATACCCACAAAGCGAAAAACATAAATACGTTACATGCTAATATCTTTTATGATAAAGCTTCTATAGGAATGCCAGTATACATTGAAAATAATCGCTCCGACCAGACCTATGGAGGTAGATTGGCATTTATCGAAGTCCTTGAATCTCCCGGGTTGGTTGTTATTGGAAACAAGGATGATGTCAAACAGAATGATTTGAAGGTTCTATGGAAAACCATTTACAACCAGTGGCCGATTGTGCTCATCTCAGTGTTGTTATGCGCAATCTCTGGTATTTGTGTCTGGGCGCTGGTAAGTATCATTGCGCTTTTTGGAGAAAATCCAAATCTGGTTGGAATAAATACAGGGTGTTTACTGTTTGCATTGGCAAACCGGTCGGTTCACGGTTTGGGCAAATGGTGAGCAACATTCAAGACTTGTAAATTTCGTCCAGGAATCACGTTTACTATTTCAGTGTACAAATCAGTTCCTTTTACCAAAAAATGACCGGGAAGGCCTGAACATGGTATCAAAGATGTTTTGAAGGAACGGAACACGAACTTCCGTTTGCAACAATCCCACCGGGAAAAACGGTTCTACCTTTTCAGACGTTAATTTCCACCTAAACGACCCGAGAAATCGTGTTCCATCTTTTTTCCAACCGGTTTTACCGAAGCTTCTTGTAAATGATAAACAACCACATTTGCTTATTATATCTTCATTTTCAGCCCTATTTACAACGAAATGGAGTAAGTTTCTAAACGGAAACTGTGTTGTCGGTAGAGGAATGAAGTACTCAAAACTGAGTGAATTGATAAGGCGGCAAGATTGACCACCTTAAAATATACGTAATATAATATTTGTTTTTATAACCAAAAAACTCACTGACTCCAAATTTAAAGCGACAAACGTTCTTGAACAAATTCCTATATTTAGGCCACGAAAAAGGGTCTCTTTTCTTAAATTAAACTGGGTAGAAAAATGAAGGGTTATGGCATGGTTTGATGGCATCATTGGCACACCCCTACACAAACTAACCCTCAGTGGTTTCCCGCCCCGGGTTTGTAGACCTCTAGCTCTGACGAAGCCATTGTTAGAATACCTGTCGCCCGTTTAACGTATCAAGGTACATGATGTAAACATATTGTGGTGTAAACGTACAAGCGAACCGGCGTGTTTACAACCGACCAAGCATATCCAGTTGAATTTGACAAGTGTAAAGGCTAAATAGATAATCTTTTAATTTTTGTATTATTTAACAGGACACAATATGGAATACAGATGAATTCCCTCGTCGTTATCATCGTGGGGCATTTGAAGGTTTCTGGTGGGCCTTCGTTACCATGTCAACCGTTGGGTAAGTGAATCAAAATTCAACTGCACCATCACTAATAAAGGCAAATTTAGGCTATGCACTTCCACAGGAATCCGGATACACTAAAATCGCATAATTGATATTTTTGTTGAACACCAATATTTGTTGTGGTATATCCGGTTTGGATTCACCCATCCGTAGGAATACACTACTGCGATTTACATTATTTTGCTAATTACTAGCTACTAGGCATGCGCAAAAACCGAACTCGCGATGTGATTTCGCGGCATTTTTTAGTTTATGTAGTACTTGACTTCAAAAATATCGTGTCGGCAGTCGTGTACACGAAATCACCAAACGCTTCTGATGAGAAAAAAAATCCACTCTGGAGAACGGTTTCAAACACATGCGGTCTCGATGTGCAGCCAGCTGATTCGTTTAAAAGAAGTACACAGTTTTAAAAGTATCAGCATATAAAGTGCTTTATGCATAAAAGTGACTGGAAAGAATAAGAAATCTTCAATGTCAGCATCACGCTTAGTGCTTGGAGGTTCATTGTGCAAAAATGTTACCCCTTTGCATTCTTTGCATGCTACGTGCCTGCCAGTTAACTAAACGAAGTTCGTATATATTTTACGTGACATAATTTGCATACAGCAATTTCTATATGGTGGTTAGTTGACAACCGGACAATTAACTTGCAACAGGGATCAATTTAATAAAACTTTTACTCGTGTAATTTAGAAGTGTAAATTACCGCATTTTTGACCAAATCTTCCTTTTTGAACCTTTTTTCGGCCAGTTACCATGGGAATAGCTCAAAAAAAAGAGATTTGAAACACTAAAGACATAATTTTGTGCTAATTGGATGTAAGCAGCTCTTTTGTTATTCGCGCATCCGCATAAGCCAAAATTTGCCGAATCTATTTCGATCTCTTTTCTCTTTTCTTCTTTTCCCCTTTGCCTTTATTTTTATGGCCATTTTTTGTTGCCCACTGTATCGTCTTTCTTAATTTCGCATGAAAGTTTGGCTGGCTTACTTTCCAATAAAGCGACAAATTTAATCTGCAAAGAATTTTGGGTAAATAGCAAAATTGGCGGTGGATTTTTCCCCCAAATGTTGCTTAAAATGTGTTTTTGTCTGTAACTTTGTCTTTAAATTTTCTAAATGAGGTACCAGTAGAAAGTTCTATCCTCGCTAATTGTGTTCATTACCATCTTATTCGCAGCTTAAATAGAAAGCTAGTTAATAGATACAGGAAGGATAATATGCATGGGTTCATATGGAACAAAAACGACCAAAGCGGACGTTAAAGAGCCGTCAGTTGAGAATGAAAAAAATGTAGTAACGAGAAGCGATTTCTTGCTCAACTTGAGTGTGGTATTTTTGAAAAACAACTGGCATTTACCTTTGCTCAATTTAAAGTGAGGTTTTCATGGGCTTAGCGCATTAATAGTCATGTTAGGATGAAAATGGATAATGATGACGAACTTTAATCATTGATGTTTCCAATTGGTTTTTATTTTTTATAGTTTTTATTCGACGTTATTTCGTTCTGTATCTTTATAAGAATTTATGTAGTTTATCTTACAGTGTATTTGTCAAGCATTCTATGAAAGAAAGATGCCTTTAAAGGGTTTTCACACACATCTTCACACAGTGCTCTCGTTTTCTCCATTACGTCCCTCTTATCGGCGCTTCGGCGTCCCACTTCTACAACGGCACAGACTTTATCAGAGAGCGGCATTGAGACCTATTGAAAAATAAACTCTTCTTGTTTTAAGGTACGGAGATAAAGCTCCTAAGTCAGTTATGGCTCGATTATTCTCTATCGTGTGGATCATGGTTGGACTTACAGTGTGTTCAGTTATGACAGCTACTTTTACCACAGCACTTGCCACAGCAGCTGTCAAAGATGTAGACCTGGTGGGAAAGAAGGTAAAATATTCATTATCAAAAATTACTCGTATGTTTCCTTTTGCTATTTTTCATTGATTACAATTATCGTTTGCACATTTATGAGCTTAATAGTCTGTGAAATATTAATGGGCATTAAAGGTTTGTGGACTCTGTGGGATGGAGGCTACCTATAAGAATAGCAAAGTAGTTTGTAGAACTTTAAAGAACATATCGATGTAAAATTGTTGATTTAAGATCGACGTCAATCGTAAATTATTCTACTACTGATAAAGGGATGCATTGAAGTTACGCAAAAAAGCGGCGAAATTAAACATGTAAGCAAGTTTTTACTTTGGGAATATTTAGAATGAATAATGGGAAGAATAATAAAATATTTATTTGGCTTAGCTTGTTTCTTCAAACCATATTCAGCCTTTTCAAATAATTGCCATTAAATCCTCCGGTTAATTCTTTTCACAAAATAACCAGTTAGGGCTGACCAAATTTGGAAGTCGTTTGACATCAATCGGCTATCCGATAAACACCAGCAAAAGGGACGGCAACCGGGAGGCCCTGGAGACGAGGTTGCATTGTCTTGGTAGAACAGTAGAAAATGGCGGAAACCTAAAACAATTATTGGACTCCGCTTAAGTGTGATCTGAAGAAATGCGATGCAGATCTCCCTCCTAAAAAATAACTGCTTTTATACTTCAGATCATACTCAGCCTCATCTTTACTAAGTGATATGTTACGTTCTCTTGATTGTCCATACTGCAGATTGCTGTGTTGAAGGGAAGTCCAGCATTCCAAGAAGTTATCAAACAGGGAGGAAGCCCAACACGTAAGATTAACATGACTAACTGGTCGTATACACATGTTTAATTATTAACGAGAGTTCATTTATTCCGTTCCCGCTTACGGGATCAGCACTGAAAGGAAAATAATCCCGTGTCTTGCTCTATTTACTAGCTTTTTCACCATTAATTTTATACCTGGGTAGCACATCACAGCTTTCTTTAGTCTAAACACCGGTTTGATCTTGAATTTGGAAAATCATGGTTTTTTGCAAATGTCATGTCGCATAATTTTTTAAATTAAAATAGGGACTCCATTGAAATGATTCGCTTGGTTCTCCTGAACAGAACGTAACTCAGCCTAAAAGTTCCAGTTCATAGTTGTAACCGGTTCGTGTGGGTCACGTGCTGGCAATCCAGTTCATTCTGATGTAACATGCGACTAGTTCCATTGATGTTTTGTGGCTATTCTCTCAAATCCAACAAAAAATTTATGCTCGAGGTTCCAAGCGGCAAGAGCTCCCAAGTATTGTAACTGCACATTTAATCATGTGCCATGGGAAGTTGCGCTATATATAAGATTTAGTTAATTGTAAATTGTAGTTGTTGCGCGTTGGGGATCTTAAAATTCCTCTCTCTTAACGACATTGTTTGTCTTCCTTCTTCGTTTATTTTCTCAGTTTTTGAAAACTTTCAAGACATGCAAAAAGCTCTCCTAAATACGACTGTGACAGGTATAATGGATGAGATGTACCACGGACTTTACTGGATGCACCAAGTTAGAGATTCAAGACTGGCTGTGGTTAAAATGATTGAGAGAACACGTTCGTACGGCTTCGCATTCAAGAAAAACACTATCTTTGAATGGCTGGCTGAGGACTGCATTCGAAAACTTATTTTGTATCGCAGAGAGGATGTCTACTTTGTTATGAAACAGTTTAAGGATGAAATGAAGGTAATTAGGTTTAATCAATGGAAGTAATTCACTGAGCTTCTTACGCTAACTTTTTAATCAACTAACTATTGCTCATTGACACCAAAGCAATATCCAATAAAACAACGGGATAACTACGACATATTATGGGTTGGGGCGTGGCCGAGTGATCAGCGCGTCGGATCTGCAATCCGGCGGTTTCGGGTTCGAGTTCTCCTACGGTCACTGGCTGGATTTGTTCAGTCACGGCTGTTCCGAATTCAAATCCTCTTCCACGCTTGTTAATACCTCCTGCTAGTTTGGTTTTAATCCCGTTATGTTCTATTTGGAATATTTGTTTCTATTAGACATTATTCACGATATCACCATATTTTCATGCTTTGCATTTTTACGGTTGACGGTCAGTTGGTTAACTCTTTCAAAACGAGAAAAAAATTTTACTCGTGGCAAATGTACAATTCCAGAATTGATAAGTTTTACTGATATCTCATTACATTGCTTACTATGAGGACATCTGTGTTCGCTATTGCGTCCAAAAAAGTAACAACGATCACTTCACCCATACGTTTCCATTATCTCTTAAAGATAAAAAGTTCTCTTGTCTAGAATAAAATAAACGTGACTGCGATTTCTTGTATTGGCAGATCTATCGCTTGTTTGTCCCCAGAGAAACCACGTGACATCGCTTCTATCCCATCGGACCTTTAGCAAATGCAAGGATGGCGGGTATCGTGGATAAGGTCTAAGTGGTGCACTTGTAAACTTAAGCTGAAAAGCTAAGTGCAGTTCCACTGCACAAGTTCTTAACTTTGCGTTACGTTTTACGCCCTTCCTTCATAGCCTTGGACGTCAACAACTGCACGTCAATACTTCCAAAAGTCTCACTTTCAAAACGAGTTTAATTGCAAAATTATTCAATTTTTTTCAATGGGGATAAAAAAATCATTTTCATATCACTGGATATACACTTGTCCTCGCTAATAAAACAGGCTAAGGGCAACTGGAAATGGGCCTATTGCTTCCTTTCTTTAACAACAAGTAAGCTCTTTGCTCATATTATTAAAATTCTATTTTAAGGATGAACTCTCCACCGCAATGGATGATGACGGGTTTTCTCTAATGGACAGGAATTCTCCTGCTTTTTGCGCCCTTGTTACTTCATTAATAATCTTCTTGGGAACACTGATCGCAGCAATCTGCCTCTGTAAACTGCTTTTGTATCTATACCAGAGATTTGTAAAGAAGAAAAAAAGTGAAGGAATAAAAGGTGGCTAATATTTTATCATGTCTCTCCTTTTCTAATGCTTCTTCGATTTTTTTATTGCTACTTTTAATTTAGAGCAAAACTCCGTTGAGTTCAGTCTAGGCCTCCCCTAGCCCCACCCAGCCCCCACCCCGACGCCTTCAATACCACCAGTTATATACCTTCTAAGATATTGATGCTCAATAAAACTCGATTTGGAGCGAGGTCGCCAAAAAAAACTTACTCAAGAAATGACAGAATCGGAATCGGAATCCTAAGCGGAGTCGTAAGAGCGCTTATGACCTTGTGAACATCAAAAATTGGAGTCGTAAGCAGAGTCACAAGCTGGACGGAATCGGAGTCGGAAGAATCGGTACGTTTTCATTTTCTTCCCATTCCGCTTACAACTCTGTCCTTTACTACCTAGTGAAAACCAGATTGTCGGAGTCGGAGGCAGAAGCGTAAGAATAAACCAATCACGACGCTAATTCCCACCCTTTGTGATTAGTTTAGTTCTTCCGCTTCTGTTTGCAACTCCAAAAGCCTAATTTTCACTCGATCGTAAACGACGGAGTTGTACGCATCAGGACGTTGTTTTCACTAGATCGTTAACTTCAACGCTTCTGATTTCGACTCCGACACCAACTCTGTCGCCAGTGAAAACCTGCCTTAAATGCTCTTTCAGTTATCAAACAAAAATGTAATTTGGCTGAGCTCATGACTAGATACGTGTCCTTATATGTTATACCTAAAGGCATAAAATAAAAATTTGTGACGTAGAACGGACAAGCAGGACTAAACCGCTAACAATATGTATGAATTTTGATTTATTCACAGATAATGTCCAGCCCTCGTCCAGCCACTGCAACGCTCCACCAAAGATGAGTTGCTGGATATTTCATAAAGAGAAGACCAAACAGAGCTATGGAAACTTCCAATCCCATGAGGACACTCGAGTTCAAGATCCTTTGCCCTCCATCATTTGAGTTCTCAATTCTTAACTTTAAGAATTCTTAACTTTAAAGATGCTTCAGCTATATAAAAATAAACCTCCGTATTCTAGCTAGAAAAAACGGTACAATGGCAATATTCCAAAAGATATAATAGTGGCAGTTGCCCCAGCAGGCTTTTGGATTAGATGCCAAAACCTGACGAAACTCCCAAGCAATTCCAGGCTATAGTCTTAAACAAGACCAAATAATTCAGCAAGTAAGCACACAATACCAACTCCGCGGTATGGCCATGCAGTACCTTGAGCCTGTACACAGCCATATCATTGGGATTTGGCAGCCATTCACAGCTGCTTCGTCCTTATTAGGACTTATCAGCATGCCTTTGCCCCAGGTAAAGGGTCTCACTAGGTGACCCCTGACCCCTTCGTTTACTGCTGAAGAGAGTGCGAAAATGCACTCCATGGACATCAAATTTCTCCAAACAACTGATATCAATACATAATCAAGTAAAAAGGTTACCCTAAGAATTTATAAAATAACACCAAAAAGATAATGCTTTGATCTTTTAACAAGTTCTCTCCACTAATTTTTTAAGGAAATGCATTGAGATCAGACCTGAGGATTTGTATGTGTATATTGGGACTTTAAGGGCTTTAAGTTGCCAGCCTTCCATGGCTGCAACTACGATCTGTACACGGATGATGTGGCTGTGCGCATGCTTGACATTTGTGTGTTTCCTTCACCTAATTTGGTCCTATATAATAGTTGTCAAGTAGTTTCCTTTCCAAAATGAATCTGTGAAAGGATAACGATCGCTAAGCGCTTCTGGGAAATAGATAATCAAACTGTAAGTGGTGCCCGTCTTGCATTGTAAGTCGCAGAGAGTATTATGTAATACGATAAAAAAAACTCTTAATTTGACTGTTTATAACGTTGCAATAGTCGCGAGAGAATTACATAAATGGAGAAAAAAACGCAACAAAATCGTATAAAAATAACTCAAAATCTCAACTACAAACTCTCTGTAACCGAAATGATTTGAGGAAGTAAATCCCTCTATTCCTTTCTCATAATATCTTCCTTTTGTTGAATGATTTTTTCAAGTTCGTACAAAAAAAAAAATTCAGTCTAGGAAAGCTCAGATATAACTTGCATCTTCTCGTATTTCTGATTCTTTTAGGTGAAAATATCGTAATGGCTTTTCCGTTTGAATAAAACCTCAAGGAATAAAATGTAAACTCTGTGTCCTACTGACCACTTTTTTCAACATAGGTTTTCCACTTTCCCACGTTTCTTAAAACAAAGTGAGGTGTTTACAAGACAGAGGCAAAAATGAGTGACTATTCTTTCCTCTGCAATGGCCAGGCCACGCAATATCAAAACTGGCTTTAAAGGGCTGATGTCGTTCGGGTTGATGAGCTCAAACCTTTCACAAAGCGAGTAAATCTCGGAGCGTGGAACAGGCTATTTACGTTGGGAAACCATTTTTTTCCCATGAAAACTACAACTCACGTGAATAACACCAGTCACATCCTTTGACTGACGGTTGTTGACGTTACCGTCCCAATGCTGCTATTAGGGACCTTAAAGTGTATATGACAGAAATTTTTTTATTTGCTTGATAGAATCTATACAGTGTTTTGATAAGGAAAGGAAAAAATTTTTTTCGATAGCGATTTTTCTTCCCCGTGTTTTAACCCGCCAAAAACGTGAAATTTTTTTTCCGGTGAGCTACAAAACCGCGCTAGCGAAAACAGAAGACTGGGAATGATTATGACGTCATTTCAGGACATTCTATTTCGCGGCAGGCAAATTACCTGGTCATTTTCTTATTTGTGTGGCAGTGTTTGGAGAATGTTTTTTGAGTTTCCCTGACCTTTTTTGATCAGAAACAGCAGAAATCAATAAAAAGACGCTTAAGCTCGAATTTAATTGACTGTGAAAAAGAATAATGAGTTTTGAAAGCGATACGGAACAGTCAGACGTGGAATCGATCGGGTCGCGCACTCACATCTGCGAGACAAAGCTAGGATCAGACGAAGATGAAGAAGATATGTACTATTCAGATCCAGAAGGACCGTATATAGATGAACCTATTGCAGACGAGGAATGGCTAACAGAATACAACCGAGAACTAGAAGAAATTGAAAGGAGAAACCAGGAGTTACAAAACTGCTTTGACAGGATTGTCGAACCCGAAACTTGGTAAGTGTTCGCTCTAATCTCTCACCTTTTAATTATTAGCCTGAAAAATCTTATCGTACTAAGATCATACCTTGCCGATAAAAAGAATAGGATAAAAGTTGCATTCTTCAACTTAAATACTACGTTCCTTCTTTTTAATTTCAAAGGTGCTCATGTGGCAATTGTGCTCTTGATCGGCTGCAGAATCCATAATCATGGCTGCGTTCTAAGACAGATTGAAGGGAGCCCAGTGCCCTGAACCTGTGAAATCAAGGATGCCTAGCATAATATTATAATCTCTAAGATTTTCTTGTCGCCGTAGAGCAGAAGTTATGTGCTAGGGGTCACCATGTGCTGTTAGAACACAGCCCTATCTGAGGCTAGCTGAGCCCTCTGCCCCTCTCAAGTCACTTTTTTCTTTGGGAAAATCTTTTTTTTTTTGGACATCTAGGGATTTTTACTGTTATCAATATTACTGTTCTAATCAAGAAAATTATAAATATAGCCATTAAAGCAACATATTACATCTTTTGTTGTAGAAATAGGAACTGGGATAGCCCAGACTTAATGCAATTTTGATTTCTTTTTCTTTTTTTTTGGCTTTTCTTTTGTTTTGTTTTTGGTTTTTGGTTTTTTTCTTTTTAATAATCCAATCTCAAGCAGCATTTGTAAATTGCCTATGCGTAGCGAGATTTACAATTGTACATTCAAAAAAACAAATAATGTTCCCATTATTATTATTATTATTATTATTATTATTATTATTGTTATTGTTACATATTATTATCATTTTATCAGCAATGAAGGTGGACTAAATATATTTTTCCTATTTTGCTTGCAGTATCTGTTGTTCTTGCCCAAGAGGCAGCTGCAGCTACAGCACAGTCATCAAGTGGAGGAAGAACAAGGAATTGCACTGTTTGCAAAAGACTCATGAGAGGGCGCAACCTTCTAGTTGATTGTCCAAGGAACCAGGCACGACAAAACAGTGGACAGTGATAGCAGACCTTTTTATTTTTTATTTTGAGGCAAAGTCAATAAGTTGCCTGGTAATTGCTTAATATAAACTGGGAGAGATTTTCATCACCATTATTTCAAGTCACCCTCGCACTGTAGATAATTAAGATACAGATAGTTTCTGTGCAATCAGCTGATGTTTTGAGTCAATATTAGTCCAAACTAGTATAAAATTTGTCAATGGACTCTGTTTCGCTATTTGCATTTTAAAATAATGATGGTCATAAAGGCAATATCTTTATTCATTATCTTCAAAACCAACAAATTCTTCATTCTCTTCTGAAAGTTCTCTTCTTATTGCATGGTAGGCACATGCTGGCAGTGGAATCCGCTTTCCCCCAAGAAAACCATGTACTAGTTGCGTAAACTCTCTGTAGGCTACTCCACGAAGAAACCTGTGTAAAATAATGAAGACATAAAAATAAATATTCAAGTCATGACCTCGCCCTGTATTTCAACTCTGTGAGCCCAGTATTACCACATGACCAGTGGCAGATGCATTTCTATTCCAATCGTACCCTTCCTTTGTGTCTCTAAAATCCCCATTTCTTTTAACATCTTATGAACTGAACATTATCAAATCAACTGTCGAATATAGTTGAAAATAGGACCAGGGTTGAAGAGTAGAGCAGAGTAAGAAAAGATGAAAGTAGTCAGCAAAAGATGAGATCAAAATTCTTTGTGTGGGGTTTGGTGTGGCTGGCAACCCCCCCCCCCCCCCCCCCCCCCCCCCCCCACCCCCCCCCACCTCTATTTTTATAATCTTATGAACGAAAAATAATAAAAGCTATTTTTGAATAAAGTTAAAAATAGGACAGGGGTTGAAAAGTAAAGCAAGATAAGAAAAGTTAAAATTAGTCAGAAAAAGTTGAGATAAAATTTTTTTGTGTGGGGTTTGGTGGGGCGGGAAACCCCCCCCCCCCCCTTCCCCCCTCCCACATACACACACACACACCCAAGTCCAGAGAAAAGTTTGATTTTAAGGGTTCTGCAAAGTACATTTTGCTTTATTCTTTATCATATGTTTTTTGTAATATAGTGTTTCTACTCAACCGATTAAACAGGTAGTAGAATGGAACACGCTATCATGCATTATTTCTATTGTCTTCTAAATTGTAGCTGTTTATTGTCTGTTTCATGTCTGTCATATACACTTTAAGATCCAAGGACGGCGACGGCAGAGAAAACGTCGCTGAAAAAGTGAATTCTTGTTTTTTCAATCTTCATCGCGATTACTCCAAGTCACCAACTTTGTCAAATGTAGGCGAACCATTCTAAAGTTGAATTCCTAAGAACCACAGCCAAGTGCAGAAAGAAAGAGGGAATTTCGTCGTCGCTTGTGTACTTCCTCGGTACAACGTGAAATTAGGCATTTTCACGTCGTAGTCGTACAGTGACGGCAAAGAAATGTACAAAAAAGCGTGATGCACGTGCAAAATTGTTGTTTTCGTTATTAAATCTATTGCTGTTGTGGAGTTCCCGTTGCCGTCGCCGTCGTCGGATCTTAAGGTCCCTATTAACATACTTTCCAATTTACGAGGTAGAGTTATCACAAATTCCGCCCGTTTTAATTACAAATTACAACAATATTATTACAAATTACGACTATTAATACTAATAACGACGATTATTACAAATTGACGACTAAACACTCTTTAATAATTTTTGCAAACTAGCTTAAGCTTTTGAGTACATGACTACATCACCAAACACACAGCTCCTGAAATTAATGTAAAAGCTGACGGGGAATTGACTCGAGCCAGATCATCGAAAAAAACAGAACAATCAACCTCCAGTCTGAGTTCGAACAAAGTCTGTGATCAAGCTGATGAAAATAAAGGGGCAGCTCATGCCTCTCCTCAAACAACTGAACACTCAGCTGAACAATCAGGTGTTCAACAATCCAAAGGTAAGAGGAGTGTCTTGGTGATCGGTGATTCTATGATTAAAGCGATTGAAGAGCAAAAACTCTTCAAGTCTTAGTCTGTTAAGAAAATTTTTTCGAGGGGCGCCAAGATAACTGTATTAAAGATCAGCTCATTCCTTCGCTGCAGCACACTCATAGGCGTACGGGCCGGGGGGGCGAGGGGGGCTGCAGCCCCCCCAAAGTTTGGGCAACTCAGATTTTTTGGGCAGCAAGAGAAAATTTGGCAAAGCCAGTTTTTAAAGACGTTTCCATGTTTTTTATTATGATTATTATTTTGAAGAGATAAATATTTCCTATTTTAACCAGAAGTCGGCGTAATAATTCAGTTACGTTCACACGAGACAGTGGTTGCCAAGCACGTGATGAGTTTCTTGTTATAAGGGAAGGGTATCATATGCTGATTTTTTTTATTGTTGGGCACTGTACTTTACTGCACTAGCTGGAAAGGGCTATTTCCAGTCGTGAATTGATTAGAATAAACTTCCGCATAACTTTCTAGAATCACCTCCGCTCCTAGAACAGTGTGTGGCAGAACACGCATCAGCAATGGGTCTGAAAGTGAAGAAGTGGCTGACTAATTCTCAGTTTGAATTACGAGAAGAATCATAATTTTTTTGAAAAAATCTATCGAGCGGTTTAAAAATTATTCATTAATTTGTTTAAGTAGACCGAAATGTTTACAAAACCCCTAACAAGATCGAGCGCTAATCAAATCCTTCTTTATAGCAATTGGCAGGAGCTATCTCCATGATCTTTCACACATGTTTTTAAAAAGATTGAAACTACTATGAGGTGAAATTACATGTTAAAAGCGCTTCGTTTTCTTCAGAATACGACTAAACATCAAGATTTTTGAATTCCTTTTTTACTTTATTTCTAACAATAAAAACTTCATCCCAAAATATCTCGATAACGCTCTTACAGTTCCGTTTTAACTTCACGAACATCGAGGCGACTATTGGAAGAAAGAGCTCCCCTGAACGATTTTGTAAGAACAGTTCCCAATGAGAAATATTGCTGCAAGTATAATAGGTAATAGCGTCATTTCGTTGCTATGACAGCTCCGATGTCATTGCAACCCTGATCATAACAAATTTCCCTCTGTATCTATTACAACTGTGGTGGCAATTTTTTCCAAATGCTTGTTTGTGGCGACGAAGTTTATGCTCAAACTTGGCAGGCATTGACTCTGAAAAACTGTATTGAGCCACTTTCATATGCCAGTACGGCCTATTTTGTTGCATGGCCCTAGTTTCCTTTCGACTGTTTTGTAAAAATTTAGGCAACTTGCAAGAATTTTTTGGGCAAATGGATTACCGCGCCCCCTAGCAAAAAATTGCCCGTACGCCTATGAGCACACTGCTTATGACAGTGTCATAATTCATGCTGTAACGAGCGATTTGAATGAATCTCAGCCTGAAGACGTAATAAATGGTCTAACTGAAATGGCAGAGGGAACGATTAAAATTAGACCTTCGATCAAGGTGTCGGTTTCGGGGTTAATAAGCCAGAGAGATGAAAATGCAAATGAGAAGATTATGCATATAAATCACACGATGAAAGCCGTCGGCGCCTCCAGGGGCTGGTTTTTTATTGATAATGCCCGCATCAAAGTTGAACGCCTAAAGAGCAAAAGTATCCACTTGAATGGTGATGGCGTGAAAATTCTAGCCTCGACTTTTATAAGGCAGGCATTGAAAGCAAAGATTAAAGCAGGAAAACACAAGCGAAAGCAGGACCCTCTTTGGTTGCTAGCACAAACTCTGAACAAGATAATTCGGACCTCGTCGGCAAGTTAGATTTAGAGGGTCATTTCACAAACGGTTCGTCTCCGTTAAATGCTGATCTGTTAAGTGAATTATCCACAAATAGGGGTTTTAAGTTAGCTGCCCTTAACATTACTAGTATTCCCGGCCATATCGAGGGATTGCGGATTTATATGAATTCGAAATGTATTGATATTCTTGCGGTTAATGAAACTCGTCTCGATGATACTATATCTAGTGGCGAAGTTACAGTACCAGGCCGTGCCCTGGAGAGAAATGATAGAAACAGAGACGGAGGGGTATCGCCCTTTATATCCGGGATACTATCAATTATGAACGTTTATTTGATCTCGAGTGCGAAAGCCTCGAGTGGATTGGCATTAACAAGGTAATCAAACCCAAGGCTAAATCTTTTATTGTAAGTACGTGGTATATAGACCACTACGTTCTAATGTAGACGCAATGAAGGATTTTGAACATCTCGTTCAGCGAATCGAATCGCTGGGGCTAGAAGTAAATATTTTGGGGGATTTAAATTGTAATGTGGCTGCCTGCCCACTAGAATCACATACAAAGAATCTTCTGGAAATTTGCAACCTTTACCAATACCACCAGCTGATAAATGAACATACCCGAATCACTGAAAAATCCGCGACTACTATTGATTTATTCCTAACAAATAACAAGGAAATTTTTACACATTCTGGGGTCTGTCACATCGGAATAAGTGACCATTCTCTTATCTATAGAGTTAGAAAATTTTTTATTCCCAAAGGGAAACCAAAGATCGTGGAGTCGCGGCAATTTAGGAATTTTGATGCTAATTCATTCCAGCTGACCTTAACCTAGCACTTTGGCACCTAGTTCATCTGGAAGATAATCCAAATTGTGAGTGGGAAATTTGATCACGTCTGTTTTTAGAACTATGTGACTTCCATGCACCAAAACGTAAAAGGAAAGTAAGAAATAATTATGCTCCCTGGCTAACGCCAGAGATAAAAAGGTTGATGTTTGAGAGGGACAAACTGAAAAGGGCTGCAATTATTAACAATTCTAATGCTCATTGGACAGAGTATAAGATTGCTCGAAACAATGTAAATGCTAATATCAGGAAAGCAAAAACTAACTACTATAAAAGGTATTTCGAAACAAATCTGGGGGATATTAAGAAATCATGGAAAGGAGCAAATTCAATATTGGGCCGAAATTTACCAACAACTGAAAAAAAAAGAGTAGATGTTGGAGATAACTCAAGTACTACCCCATTAGAAATCTCTAATGCTCTTAACTATCACTTTACTCACATTGGGCCTAGGTTAGCCGATAATATTCCCAAAACTAGTGTTTGTTTCGAGGACTACATTACGCCATCAGATTCTAGTTTTAACGAGACTCATTACGATGTTGTTCACCGTTTAGTGAGTTCCCTTCGAGTCGACAAGGCTACGGGCCTAGACGGTATTTCTGCAAGGCTTTTAAAAGAAGCTTGTTCTGAACTCTTGCCTTCTCTCACCCATATAATTAACCTATCCATTAGGTGTGGGTATTTTCCAGACGAGTGGAAAATTTCCAAAGTATTACCTTTATATAAGGAGGATATTAAGTGTGATCCTAGCAACTATGACCTATATCTATTCTACCAGTTGTCAGTAAAATAATCGAAAAGGTTATTTTCAAACAACTTAGTGAGTATCTAAGTCGCAATAATTTGCTGACAGTTTCTCAGCATGGTTTCAGACCGATGCATGCATTCTACTTTGACTGCCTTGCTTGAAGCTAGTAACAACTGGTACTTAAATATTGATGATGGCCTAATTAACAGTGTACTCTTTCTGGATCTAAAGAAAGCATTTGCCGGTTGACCACAGCATATTGTTAAAAAACTGCAACTTTATGGTCTCGATCCGCACGCAGTTCAGTGGTTCAAATCATACCTATCAAATCGCTTTCAGAGTACTTATGTAAATGGAACTCTATCAGACTATGTTCTTGTTAGTTGTGAGGTCCCAAAAGGTTCTGTACTTGGACCCTTGTTGTTTTTCATTTATATACGTGACCTACAAGAACGCGAGCTGTCATCATCTACACTCATGTGTGCTGATAACACCTCGCTTACCCTTTCCGCTTATGATCCCACAACTCTTGAAGAAAACTGTGAAAGGTTTCAACCCAGGAGTCATTTCAAAAGGTTGAGTTTGATCGTCCGGGTGAACGTAGTCCTGAATACCTGACAACAACAACTGTCACTGACTGCAAAGCTGTTGGAGTGCGGTAGTCATCTTCAGAGTCAAAGTGAGTTGTATCACGTCAGTTGATGGTATTATACATCACGGCTTAACTGACAGACGTCCAATAACATCGTGACATAATTGACCAATCAGGTCAATAACCAGAGTATAATGTAGATACCATCTGTAAAAAAGTATCTGCAGGTATAGGGGCCTTAAAACGTATTCGTTCCCTGATGCCTCGCCAAACCCTACTGAAAATGTATTATGCTTTAGTCGCTCCTTATTTTCATTACTGCTCCAAAGTCTGGGGATGTATGGGAAAAGGCCTGTGTGACAGAATCCAGAGATTGCAAAATAGGGCTGGGAGAATTATAACATTTAGTGATTATAATACAAGATCTGCGGATATCTTCCAAGACTTGAGATAGGATACCCTTAAGCAAAGACGCTCTAAACAGCTGGCAATAAGGGTTTTAAATCCCTAAATAACCTTTACCCTGACAGTTTAAAGAACAGGTTTAAACCAACCTTCGGGACTCATTCTTACAACGTGCGAGGTGCCTCGAACAACATTTTTGTACCAAGGCCCAGTACTGAAGCTGCTAAGCGGGCTTTTAGCTATAGGGGGGCAGTCATGTGGAATGGCCTAGAAAATGTGCTTAAAGACGAGATAAATCTCAACTCTTTCAAGTCTGCCCTGTGTTTGTCTTGAACCAGGGATTGCCTTGAGGGAGTTGAGATAGAAAATATTTTAGTTATATAATGTACCTTTAAGGTTGATTGATTTTTGTGTAATTAATTATAGAATAGATTTTCTTAATATATAGATATATTTTAGCGTTAGTATAGTTTCTTTGAAAATTTTGTTATGTAAACGGCTCACTGGAAGAGCATTTTTAATGAAGAGATACCGTAAATAAAGCTTGATTGTTGTTATTGTTGTTGTTGCACTCAAATGATTGAACGATAGCTATAATAGCCTGCAGGTCCTCAAGTAAGAATCTTTTTCTTAAACGTCCAGGAACTCATCTTTAAAAGGATACTGGCGGACGATAGTTGTGTTCTTGTTATCGGCTGTGAAAAATATATGGAAAAACAAAAAGTAGTCAGACAAGTAAAGTGAATAATTTTCATTTCTGTTTTGTAAGTGGGTGAACTTTGTCGCAACACAATGGCTGGTGCAGCAAGCAAATATAGGAATAACTAAAAATAATACAAATTTAAGATAGAAGATAGAGCAAAGTGGAAAATTTTGGACAGCCAGCCGGTGGAAAGCTACTTCTTCCGAGAACGTGAACCCCGGACGTCTTACATCGTTAGTGGGAGCTAATGCAGACTGTGATATTTGCAATGGCTTAGACGACAGCTGTGCCCCCCTTTCTTGTTTAACTAAATGTTTCTCATTGTCAGTTTAAAAAATATTTTTGTCTAACCTTTGCTCTAAAGAGAGCTTTTTTTAACTTGTTTTTCAATGGTATGGCCCTGGTTAAAGTCCCGAAGGGGACTGCTTATAAGTGTTTTTTCCCTCTTGGTCTACCTAGTACGGTTTTCCCCTCACCTAAAAAACTAACACTTCCAAATTCCAGTTAGATCTTAAACACATGGCTGTATTTCACTATACTCCGGCATCCGTGTCGCAATAAACTGGAACTTAATAAAAGACGAGAAATTTTGTGTCCTTACGACTATATTAGTACTTTGGGGTTTGAGATTGGACAATAGTACACTTAACCTTGAATTTGAAATTATGAATACGGGCGCAGTCTTTGTTTGTTACTAAACCTTTTTCCACGTGGCTTGCCTCCAACTGGTCGTCGATGGTGGTGCTAAGAAACACCGAAACGGTCGTCAAACTGTTAGTTCTAAAAATTAAACATTTCTCCGCTCAAAAAAATTTGACCAGCAAGGGTGCCCCTTGTAGGTCTCTAAGTCCTTGCGGTGGGAGGTGGAAACAAGTATCGGGGCTACAACAAAGCTGCATGGACCAATATCTGGGCCTCGATGTTTGAAAACTCGCCTAATCTCCTGCGTTAAATCTTTAAATCGTCAGTTCACTAATCTCAGGTTAAAATATGTTGTCATGCAGCCCCGATTACATCATCGATTTTCTATATCACCATTTAAGGACGATATGCAGCTACTATATGTCAAGAAAACGTTGCCGCTAAAACAAAAGGTTTGCCCCTCGACATCGTTTTACTGAAGTACTGCTCGCAACAAGTGGCATGGCCACCTGCTCATTGAGCACAAGTTCGGGAAAACTAGAGACAAAAAAGACACACTTAAGCAAAGGCCAACCTAGCTAACCATTGCTTTTCAGTAGATTCCATTCGCACGTTTCTCATTCATTTTGTACCCGATATCTATGATATCTTTACAAGATTTCCCCCATCCTCGAAGGCCCAGGGGCGGTCAGTCGGGCCGGGAGAAAAGGCGCGACAAAAGTTTTCAACTTGATAACTTTTGTCACGCCTTTTCTCCCGGCCAGACTGACCGCCCCTGGGTCTCCGAGGATGGATTTCCCCGGGTGTGACTTGCCACCGTAGTCCTGAGTTTCGGGAAAGCATTCCCTTGGGTCACAATGATCTTTCTCACGTGATGTCGAGTAGAGAAGTTGTTATTGCGCTTTCTTATGTAACAATATTCCCCAGGCAACATGATGCGAAAACACGATGGTTTACTGGAAGCTGGAAGCTTTAAGCTCAGCGTTCAAAACTTATCCACAGCATACAACTAACAGAGGAAGTATCCCTTCTATAGTAATTACCAGTAGATGTCAAGACTTCTCCAGCCCATAAGGTCTGTCAAGTTAACCTCAGCAAACGTAAAGATTGCGCGAATAGTGGCATATGAGGATGTGACGCTAAAAGAGGTCGAAAACATTTTTTTCATGGAGAGCGGAGAATGCTTGGAAGTTGGCTGGGAAACTGAGTGTCATATCGCATTCATGATGAGGCTGAATCACGGAAAACGACTTCCTTATCTCTCTCCCCAGTTATCCTAAGGAAAAAAAGACTATAAAAAGAACGATCAAGTTGACATTTTTCCTTTTCCAGTCGAATACCAAAACAGTAGTTGCTGAGATCGAAAGGTGATCAGTATATATAAATTGGTCAGGTTCACGAGTATAATGCATTCAGTTAGTGTATTCTTGTGTAGGAAAATGGAAGCATTTTTCCTTAATAGGCGATTACTATAAACGAGTTTTTTTTTAGGTAATTCCCTTGAAAATAATGTACTATCAAGAGATTTTTTTCTTTAACTCCGCGCAATTGACGGTCACATGTGAGAAACTGAAAAACTGCAATTATTAAAAGATGGGGTAATCGTGCTTGGTTTTGCCCTACTTAACCGTTATTTTAGGTCTTTTCTACTAAGTTGCTTGCAAAGTTCGAAACTCATGAAAACCAAGTGTCAAATATTTGTTTGCGACATTGGACCCGCGACCGCGACTTTGGACCCGCGACCCGCGACTATTAGTCAAACCAGGAGCTGGTCAAACTCGAGATAAAGATGCAGATCAGTTCTAATTTTCTTACATTATTTGCAAGGTCAGGCAGATGGAAATAACTTTACTGCTGAAAGATTATTGCCTAGACAAACAAACATGCTCGAAGTTTCAATTATAGTATTCGTATTTTTTCCTATATACCGACAGACTCGTAGCTTTTTGAGCCCGAGTTCGCTTTTTAAAAAAAAAGGCTTTAAGTTGTTGTAACGTTTATAATCTGTAGTCTATGAAGTGTATCGCATATTTTTCAGTAAATGAACTCCTATGCATTTGTGAGCAATTCATCGACAAGAAGAAAGCAATGGTAACTGATGGTAACTTTTTTATCAGATACTGTTATGTATAGGTATATTCAAAGCTTAATTTACACATAACTAGGCCCGATAGAAAGAAAACAAATTAAACTTGCGGTGAACACAAAAGTCTGCCAGCTTTTTCTTTTAGGTCTTTTCTTGAGACATTATTATGTTGACTCTAACATCCGTAACCTGTAAATTGGCTACCGTAGAGCATCGTGCATAAAAAAGATTTTTTTCCCTTTATATTGTGTTCATATAAGTAGTTTTCACTCAGCTTTTACCTCGAACCCCAAATCATTTTCCGCTGCCGCGACATTGGACCCGCGACCGCGACTTTGGACCCGCGACCCGCGACCCGCGACTATTAGTCAAACTCCTTTATCTCATACTCCGGTTCTGTGGCTTCATATGCAGTCTCACGTCATTCATATAAAATAATACAACTTCTACTATATTTTTCTGCTTGAAATAGGTTTTCAAATAGGACTATTTTTCGTTGTCAATGAATAATAGTTACTTGATTAAAGAGTTACCGAAAGAAGGTCAGAGAATTTTATATAAATATGATATGGCATACTTTATTGAAAGTCAGTGAAACCTAGGTGTTACCTTTTTCTCTTTGGACTGAGCACTAAAATACAAACACTAACCGACTTACAATAGACATAATAAGTGGCTTGAAAATTTCAAAGTTAACAAAAACTGTTTACTTAGATAATTAAAAGTTCTGTGCTGCTGTTGTAGCGTACGCCGTGTGTGTCGGAGAGTGCATAAGAACGAGTAGTAAATGTTCTTTGTTGTTCTAATCTGATTCAACCCGCTATTTGAATGTGTATGTTTGGACTTTACAGCTGTTATATGTAATTATTATACATTGTTCTCACTAGCGGTCTTTTCATTGGCTAAGAGCCTACAGAGTAGTTATTTGCTAGCAGATATCTGACTGAGTAAGTTGAGGCGCGCCGTGCATTAGTAAAACAAAATTTTAATATACTGAAATTGGTCTATTTGAAGGTTTCATATTTTTTGGTAAGGAGGTAAAGGTAGTAAAACAAAGCAGTGACAACAGTAAAAACCTCCCGAATTAAAGAACCTGTATTTTCCCATCGATTTTCCCAAGTTATAAATTAGCCTAAATAGGTTCTTACATAAACGGTAATAAGCACAAACCTGTCAGAAAGCCACTTGACTGGCTTTCTGACGGGTTGATTTGACAAAATGGAAAGCATCCGTGAACGGAGTTTTAACAAATAGTTCAGAAGTGCTTGCAGCTTATCAACGTGCTCTTAGCAATAAAACGTATAAAGAATTTTTCATAGTCAAATTAGTTTTGACCGTGTTGGAAACCCTCAGGCATAATGGAAAACTAAAAAGTCTATAATGCAATGGTATAAATTACGTTTACCTTAATCAGCATCTGATTAAGAAGCTTATTCGTGATGAAAGCTTAAGCATTATTATTTAGGGTCCGTCTTTACGTGGGTACTTAAACTAACTACAAACTTTTGTTATGTGAGAAATCCAGGGGTGAGATGAGTTCTTGTCTGTATTCTTAGTTTATTTATCATAGATTTTGTCTGAACGGCGATAGGAGAATTTTTATAAGTTCTTAAACCGGTAAAAATTTTATGACGCACCATTTTGCTTCTCGAGTCACGAGAAATAAAATAAATGTCAAAACTATACATAACAATCAGACAGCACGTCATGTGACCATGTTATCATCCAGATGAAAAACGTTCTGTTTTCCATCCTTAATTTCTCTTTCTAAAATCATTTTGTTGAAGACAGTAACATGATCAAACATATTCGACTTAGTATTTCATCACAAGATCAAACAAACATCTCTGTCAGCTCTTTTCTTAATATTGTGATAAGACACTGTGGGTTTAAAATGCTGGGCATATTACTTCCGATTATTTCTGCATTATGAATAGTCATGGGTCGCACTTGGCAAATTTTTGGGAGAATTTGTTTACCTTGCGGTAGAAATCTGTCATCGGTGGACATTGCTAAGTGCGATCCCGAGTTTTCAAGTTAGAAAAAACTTTGAAAATCGGCAAAAACATCAAAGACGCCGTAGTGCTTGGGTGGGGCAGGCGGTAACTGTCAGCGCCTTGTCATGAGCGTGATCCATTTGAAACACGATCAATTTAAAATAAACGCGGTCGAATTTTCAGACCTTCGCGAAGAGGCTTCTACTCGGCTATCCTTCGCCATTTCAAGTTTTTTTCGAAAACTCTTTACAGGCAGGGAGTTCACTAACTTATAAACCTCCGTTTAAGGTTTTTACGGGAACTAGCTCTATTGAAGACGAACCACTTCCCGTCTACACAAGCAAACACTTCACAGGTTTGTTATTCTCCAAGCCAAATGCACTATTCGCATCCAAGGAATTTCTGGTCTTCTTTATCTGTCCCATCCTCCTGAAACTGGGAATGGAGGAAAAAGATCCTTCGACAAAGGTTCGGACGAATGTTTTCTGGTATCTGGCGTTCTTAAGTTCTTAATGTGTCAAAGCAAAAAAACTATTAACTCCCACTAATGCGACCCTCCTCGGTTGGACTAAAAGTTTTCTTTTCCGGTTGCGGTTTCGAATTTTTGTGGTTTTTTAGCCGGCAAAGATGAAAACTTTTCCCAAGTGCGACCCATGCCAAAGGTTAGGAAGCTATTAAATTCTAAATTGAGATCCATTTGCATTTTAGCTCTCTGCGGGACCCGACCTGGTGGTGCCGGCTAGGACTGACTTAGTCACTTTCATAGGAGTAGATGGCTAATAAACAGCTGCAGTACTATGAAAACCAGCCCCATTCTCCAAAGTTTATGTATGTACGTGTATGTAAATTTGGAATTAACAGCAGATGACGCTTCAGAGCATTGCTCGGTGTTTAAACAATCAAAGATACTGAATTTTTGAAAATGTTTTCCCAACCTCAGTTTGTTGTCATTGCTTTTACTTTTCGCTTTTTACTTGTCTGCTTGGCGCAAAACGAGGGAGAATTGAATTACTTGATGATCAAAATTTTGGAACTGAAGCAAAGTAGCTCCGACGAAAACGGTTCGTCTTGCCTTCCGTCGAACACATCGAGAAATGGTACCATTCGTCCTACTAGCATTACGACAAACCCGACAGATAAGACGTCATCCTATTACATTGGGTTAACCAACAACACTCAAGATCGTACCACGATGGTGCCAACATCCCTTGGTGAAAACGTATCGACCTTTTCCACGGAAGCGTCGGTTCGAGAAACACCTAATTGCAACCCACCGCTTTGCTCCCGAGTAATCAACATAACATGGCTGTCATTTGCTCCTTTTATTTCTCAGCCTAAGAACAGCACGAGACAAACTGAAAAGTTAGACGGTGTATTCTACAGTATAATAGGGCGCGCTGTTCAGTTTTGTTGCAAACATTTCGACAACAGGGGGACACGCTTTGAATATACCCACAAAGCGGAAAACATAGATACGTTACATGCTAATATCTTTTATGATAAAGCTTCTATAGGAATGCCAGTATACATTGAAAATGAGTTTTTTGACCAGCAATATGGAGGTACATTGGCATTTATCAAAGTCCTTGAATCTCCCGGGTTGGTTGTTATTGGAAACAAGGATGATGTCAAACAGAATCATTTGAAGGTTCTATGGAAAACCATTTACAAACAGTGGCCGATTGTGCTCATCTCAGTGTTGTTATGCGCAATCTCTGGTATTTGTGTCTGGGCGCTGGTAAGTATCATTGCGCTTTTTGGGGAAAATCCAAATCTGGTTGGAATAAATACATGGTGTTTCCTATTTGCATTGGCAAACCGTTCGGTTCACAGTTTGGGTAAATGGTGAGCAAAATTTAAGACTAGTAAATTTCGTCCGGGAATCACGTTTACCTTTCAGAGTACAAATCAGTTCCTTTTACCGGAAAATGACCGCGAAGGCCTGAACATGGTATCAAAGGTGGTTTGAAGAAACGGAACGCGAACTCCCACCGGGAAAAACGGTTCTACCTTTTCAGACGTTAATATGTTGCTCTCGGAAAATTTCCACCTAAACGACCCGAGAAATCGTGTTCCATTTACTTTCCAACCGCTTTTACGGAAACTTCTTGTAAATGATAAACAACCACATTTACTTATTATATCTTCATTTTCAGCCCTATTTACAACGAGTCGGTAGGGAATGAAGTACTCAAAACTGAATTGATAAGGTGGCAAGATTGACCACCTGAAAAGATACGTAATATAATATTTGGCTCCTGGGGGCACTTCCTTATTTGGCTTAAACGTATATACAATGCTGCGGGATGTGATCCTTGCTGCTGCGCGGCCGACATTGTAGTGTGACCGGTTTTTAGAACCAAAAAACCTAACTGACTCCAAATTTAAAGTGACAAACGTTCTTGGACAAAGTCGTATATTTAGGCCACGAAAAAGGGTCTCTTTTCTTAAATTAAACAGGGTAGCAAAATGAAGGGTTATGGCATGGTTTGATGGCCTCAGTGGTAAACCCTTACACAAACTACCCTTCAGTGGTTTCCCGTCCCGGGTTTGTAGACCTCTGGCTCTGACGAAGCCACTGTTTGAATACCTGTGGCCCGTTTAACGTATCAAGGTACATGATGTAAACATATTGTGGTGTAAACGTACAAGCGAACCGGCGTGTTTACAACCGACCAGGCATATCCAGTTGAGTTTGACAAGTGCAAAGGCTAAATAGACATATCCTTTAATTTTTGTTTTATTTAACAGGAGACAACATGGAATACAGATGAATTCCCTCGTCGTTTTCATCGTGGGGCATTTGAAGGTTTCTGGTGGGCCTTCGTTACCATGTCAACCGTTGGGTAAGTGAATCAAAATTCAACTGCACCATCACTAATAAAAGCAAATTTAGGCAATGCACTTCCACACGAATCCGGATACACTAAAACCGCATTATTGTTATTTGCGCTGAACACCAATATTTGTTGTGGTGTATCCGGTTTGGATTCACCCATCCGTAGGAATACACTACTGCGACTTACATTATTTTGCTAATTACTAGCTACTAGGCATGCGCAAAAACCGAACTCGCGATGTGATTTCGCGGCATTTTTGAGTTTATGTAGTACTTGACTTCAAAAATATCCGGTCGGCAGTCGTCTACACGAAATCACCAAACGCTTCGGATAAGAAAAAAATCCACTCTGGAAAACGGTTTCAAACACATGCGGTTTCCATGTGCGGACAGCTGATTCGTTAAAGAAGTACGCGGTTTTAAAAGTATCAGCATATAAAGTGCTTTACGCATAAAAGTGACTAGAAAGAATAAGAAGTCTTCAATGTCAGCCTAACGCTTAGTGCTTGGAGGTTTCTTGTGCAAAAATGTTACTCCTTTGCATTCTTTGCATGCTACGTGCCTGCCAGTTAACTAAACGAAGTTCGTATATAATTCATGTGCCCTAATTTGCATACAGCAATTTCTATATGGTGGTTGGATGACAACCAGTCAATTAACTTGCAACAGGGATCAATTTAATAAAACTTTTACACGTGTAATTTACAAGTGTAACTTACCGCATTTTTTACCAAATCTTCCTTTTTGAACCGTTTTTCGGCCAGTTAGCATGGGAATAGCTAAAAATAAAAGAGAGATTTGAAACAAGAAGACATAATTTTCTGCTTATTGGATGTAAGCAGCTTTTTTGTTTTTCGCACATCCGCATAAGCCAAAATTTGGCGAATCTATTTCGATCTCTTTTCTCTTTTCTTCTTTTCCTCTTTGCCTTTATTTTTATGGCCATTTTTGTTTCCCACTTTATCGTCTTTCTTAATTTCGCATGAAAGTTTGGCTGGCTTACTTTCCAATAAAGGGACAAATTTAATCTGCAAAGAATTTTGGTTAAATAGCAAAATTGGCAGTGGATTTTTTTCCCAAATGTTGTTTTGTTCTGTAACTCTGTCAGGATTGGCCAAAATGTTGTAAATGAGGTACCAGTAGAAAGTTCTATCCTCGCTAATTGTGCTCATTACCATTTTATTCACAGCTTAAATAGAAAGCTAGTTAATAGATACAGGAAGGATAATATGCATGGGTTCATATGGAACAAAAACGACCAAACCGGACGTTAAAGAGCCGTCAGTTGAGAATGAAAAAAATGTAGTAACGAGAAGCGATTTCTTGCTCAACTTGAGTGTGGTATTTTTGAAAAACAACTAGCATTTACTTTTGCTCAATTTAAGGTGAGGTTTTCATGGGCTTAGCGCATTAATAGTCATGTTGGGATGAAAATGGATAATGATGACGAACTTTAATCATTGATGTTTCCAGTTGGTTTTTATTTTTTATAGTTTTTATTCGACGTTATTTCGTTCGGTATCTTCATAAGAACCCATGTAGTTTATCTTACAGTGTATTTGTCAAGCATTCTCTGAAAGAAAGGTGCCTTTAAAGGGTTTTCACACACATCTTCACACCGTGCTCTCGTTTTCCCCATTACGTCCCTCCTATCGGCCCTTCGGCGTCCCACTACTACAACGGTACAGACTTTATCAGAGAGTGGCATTGAGAACTGTTGAAAAATAAGCTCTTCTTGTTTTAAGGTACGGAGATAAAGCTCCTAAGTCAGTTATTGCTCGATTATTCTCTATCGTGTGGATCATGGTTGGACTTACAGTGTGTTCAGTTTTGACAGCTACTCTTACCACAGCACTCGCCACAGCAGCTGTCAAAGATGTAGACCTGGTGGGAAAGAAGGTATAATATTGCTTATCAAAAATTACTCGGATGTTTCCTTTTGCTATTTTCATTGATTAAAATTATCGTTTGCGCATTTATGAGCTTAATAGTCTGTGAAATGGGCATTAAAGGTTTGTAGACTCTGTGGGATGGAGGCTACCTATAAGAATAGCAAAGTAGTTTGTAGAACTTTAAAGAACATATCGATGTAAAACTGTTGATTTAAAGATTGACGTCAATCGTAAATTATTCTACTACTGATAAAGGGATGCATTGAACTTACGCAGAAAAGCGGCGGAAATTAAACATGTAAGCAAGTTTTGACCTTGGAAATATTTAGAATGAATAATAGAAAGAATAATAAAATATTTATTTGGCTTAGCTTGTTTCTTCAAACCATATTCAGCCTTTTCAAATAATTGCCGTTAAATCCTCCGGCTAATTCTTTTTATAATATAACCAGTTAGGGCTGACCAAATATGGAAGTCGTTTGCTACATCCGATAAAATGACATCAATACTATCCGATAAACAGCAGAAAAAGGGACGGCAACCGGGAGGCCCTGGAGACGAGATTGCATTGTCTTGGTAGAACAGTAGAAAATGGCGGAAACCTAAAACAATTATTGGATTCCGCTCAAGGGTGATCTGAAGAAATGTGATGCAGATCTCGGAGGATGTTATCCGCTTTGAATGATAACCCTCTCCTAAAAATTATCTGCTATATTCCTTCAGATCACAGTACTCGGCCTCATCCAATAATTACTAAGTGATATGTTACGTGCTCTCGATTGTCCATACTGCAGATAGCTGTGTTGAAGGGAAATCCAGCATTCCAAGAAGTTATCAAACAGGGAGCAAGCCCAACACGTAAGATTAATATGACTAACTGGTCGTATACACGTGTTTAATTATTAACGAGAGTTCATTTATTCCGTTCCCGCTTACGGGATCAGCACTGAAGGGAAAAGAATCCCGTGTCTTGCTCTATTTACTAGCTTTTTCACCATTAATTTTATACTTGGGTAGCACATCACAGCTTTCTTTAGTCTAAACACCGGTTTGAACTTGAATTTGGAAATCATGGTTTTTGCAAATGTTATGTCGCATATTTTTTAAATTAAGAAAGGTACTCCATTTAAATGATTCGCTGGATTCTCTTGAACAGAACGTAACTCAGCCTAAAAGATCCAGTTCATAGCTGCAACCGGTTCCTGTGGGTCACGTGCTGGCAAGCTAGTTCATTCTGATGTAACGTGCGACTAGTTCCCTTGATGTTTTGTGGCTATTCCCTCAAATCCAACAAAAAATTTATGCTTGAGGTTCCAAGCGGCAAGAGCTCCCAAGTATTGTAACTGCACATTTAATCATGTGCCGTGGGAAGTTGCGCTATATATAAGATTTAATTAATTGTAAATTGTAGTTGTTGCGCGTTGGGAATCATAAAATTCCTCTCTCTTTACGAGATTCTTTCTCTTCATGCTCCGTTTATTTTCTCAGTTTTTGACAACTTTGAAGACATGCAAAAAGCTCTCCTAAATAAGACTGTGACAGGTATAATGGATGAGATGTACCACGGACTTTACTGGATGCAACAAGTTAGAGATTCAAGACTGAATTTGGTTAAGATTATTGAGAGAACACGTTCTTATGGCTTCGCATTCAAGAAAGACACTATCTTTCAATGGCCGGCCGAGGACTGCATTCGAAACCTTATTTTGCATCGCAGAGAGGATGTTTACTCTGTTATGAAACAGTTCAAGGATGAAATGAAGGTAATTAGGTTTAATCAATGGAAGTAATTCACTGAGCTTCTTACGCTAACTTTTTAATCAACTAACTATTGCTCATTAACACAAAAGCAATATCCAATAAAACAACGGGATAACTACGACATATTATGGGTTGGGGCGTGGCCGAGTGATCAGCGCGTCGGATCTGCAATCCGGCGGTTTCGGGTTCGAGTTCCCCTACGGTCACTGGCTGAATTTGTTCAGTCACGGCTGTTGCGAACTCAAATCCTCTACCACGCTTGTTAATACCTCCTACTAGTTTGGTTTTAACCCTGTTATGTTCTATTTGGAATATTTGTTTCAATTAGACGGTCAGTTGGTTAACTCTTTCAAAACAAGAAAACAATTTTACTCATGCCAAATGTACAATTCCAGAATTGACAAGTTTACTGATATCTCATTATATTGTTTTTTTATGAGGACATCTGCGGTCGCTATTGCGTCCAAAAAAGTAACAACGATCACTTCACCCATACGTTTCTATTATCGCTTTAAGATAAAAAGTTTTGTTGTCTAGGATAAAATAAACGTGACTGCGATTTCTTGTATTGGCAGATTTATCACTTGTTTGTCCCCTGAGAAACCACGTGACATCGCTTCTATCCTATCAGTCCTTTACCAAATGCAAGGATGGCGGGTATCGTGAATAAGGTCTAAGTGGTGCACTTGTAAACTTAAGCTGAAAAGCTAAGTGTAGTTCCACTGCACAAGTCCTTAACTTTGCCTTACGTTTTACGCCCTTCCTTCATAGCCTTGGACGTCAACAACTGCACGTCAATACTTCCAAAATCTCACTTTCAAAACGAGTCTAATTGCAAAACCATTTAATTTATTTCAATGCGGATAAAAAATCATTTTCATATCACTGGATATGCACTTGTCCTCGCTAATAAAACAGGCCAAGGGCAACTCGGAAATGGTCCTATTGCTTGCTTTCTTTAACAAAAAGTAAGTTCTTTGCTCATATTATTAAAATTCTATTTTAAGGACGAACTCTCCACCGCAATGGATGAAGACGGGTTTTCTCTACTGGAGAGGAATTATCCTACTTTTTTCGCCCTTGTTACTTCATTAACAATCTTTTTGGGAGCACTGATCGCAGCAATCTGCCTCTGTCAACTGCTTTTGTATCTATACCAGAGATTTGTAAAGAAGAAAAAAAGTGAAGGAATAAAAGGTGGCTAATAGTTTATCATGTCTCTCCTTTACTAATGCTTCTTCGATTTTTTTTTCTACTTTTAATTTAGAGCAAAACTCGACTGAGTTCAGTCTAGGCCTCCCCTAACCCCACTCATGTACCTTCCAAGATATTGATGCTCAAAAAAACTCGATTTGCTGCGAGGTCTTCAGAAAAACTTACTCAAGAAACGACAGAATTGGAATCGGAATCGCAAGCGAAGTCGTAAGAGCGCTCATGACCTTGTGAAAATCAAAAATTGGAGTCGTAAGCAGACTCAGTCACAAGCGGGACGGAATCGGAGTAGAAAGAATCAGTACGTTTTCATTTTCTTCCGATTCCGCTTGCAACTCCGTCCTTTACTATCTAGTGAAAACCAGATTGTCGGAGTCGGAGGCAGAAGCGGAAGAATAAACCAATCACAACGCTAATTCCAACCCTTTGTGATTAGCTTAGTTCTTCCGCTTCTGTTTGCAACTCCGACAGCCTAATTTTCACTCGATCGTAAACGACGGAGTCGTAGCATTTGGACGCTGTTTTCACTAGATCTTTAACCCCAACGCTTCTGATTTCGACTCCGACACCGACTCCGTCGCTAGTGAAGACCTGCCTTAAATGCTCTTTCAGTTATCAAACAAAAATGTAGTTTAGCTGAGCTCATGACTAGATACGTGTCCTTATATGTTATACCTAAAGGCATAAAATAAAAATTTGTGACGTAGAACGGACAAGCAGGACTAAACCGCTAACAATATGTATGAATTTTGATTTATTCACAGATATTGTCAAGCCTTCGTCCAGCCGCTGCAACGCTCCACCAAAGATGTGTTGCTGGATATTTCATAAGGAGAAGAGGATACAGAGCCATGGAAACTTCGAATCACATAACGACACTCGAGTTCAAGATCCTTTGCCCTCCATCATTTGAGTTCTCAATTCTTAACTTAGAACTTAACTAAAATTTATTTCAATAAAGTCCTGGGAGGGGGGGAGGAGGGAAGCGTTACCTTTAAAGATGCTTCAGCTATATAAAAAATTAACCTTCGTATTCTAGCGAGAAAAAACGGTACAATGGGAATATTCCAAAAGATATAATGGTGACAGTTGCCCCAGTAGGCTTTTGGATTATATGCCAAAACCTGACGAATCTCCCAAGCAATTCCAGGCTATAGTTTTAAACAAGACCAAATAATTTAGCAAGTAAGCACACACTACCAACTCCGCGGTATGGCCATGCAGTACCTTGAGTCTGCACACAGCCATATCATTGGGATTTGGCAGCCATTCACAGCTGCTTCGTCCTTATTAGGACTTATCAGCATGCCTTTGCCCCAGGTAAAGGGTCTCACTAGGTGACCCCTGACCCCTTCGTTTACTGCTGAAGAGAGTGCGAAAATGCACTCCATGGACATCAAATTTCTCCTAACAACTGATATCAATACATAATTATACAATGATGTGAATGCTACGCGCGCTGTGATTGGTCGTTGCCCATGATCTATTATAGTACAGATACATGGATGACGTCACGGGAAACTTGTTTTCTTTGTTTTGTTCAACATGGCACGCTGTTTTGAAAATGTTTGTGAGATTATTTCGGATTAAGGCAAGTGAAAGCTTCGGAAAAAGTTTAGCAGGAGCTATTTACAAAGAAGAAAAATGGAGAAACGGAGACCAAAAAAGCTATTGACTACTTGACAATGCCTAAACTACAACAAATCTTCACAACAGTTGCCATCGTGTGTCTTCGCTACGAGACTCGCTGTTTTGCAAAATGTTTTCGCTATTATTTATTATTCTTCTTTGAGCAAGAAAAGACGGTGAAAAACTTTTCGAAGAAACTATACACAAGTAAGATAAAGAAGAAGCTAAGATGAAAAGTTGGGTTTGGGACTTAAAAACTAGCACAAATCCTCAAAAGGTCAAGCGGTTCGAGGCAGGTGTGTGTATCGGTCTTTTTCTTTTCTGATCATTGTATAAAACAAATAGGTTCCATGTTGCCGTGGGTCTGTTCAGTAATAGATCACAGAGGACGTCAAAATGTGGTAAAAACAACAGTGACACACTCGCCTGCGGCTCGTGTGCCACTTCTTTGTTTTTACGACATTTTGACGTCATCTGTGATCTATTACTGAACAGAAGCACGGCAACATGGAATCTATTTGTTAATCAAGTAGAAAGGTTACCCTAAGAATTTATAAAATAACACCAAAAAGATAATGCTTTGATCTTTTAACAAATTCTCTCCACTAATTTTTCAAGGAAATGCATTGAGATCGGACTTGAGAATTTGTATGTGTATACCGGGACTTAAAGGGCCTTAAGTGCCAGCCTTCCACGGCTGCCACTACAATCTGTACCTGGAGATGTGGCTGTGCGCATGCTTGACATGTGTGTGTTTCCTTCACTTAATTTGGTCCTATATAATTATTATAAAGTAGTTTCCTTTCCAAAATGAATCTGTGAAAGGATAACGATCGCTAAGCGTTTCTGGGAAATAGATAATCAAACTGTAAGTGGTGCCCGTCTTGCATCGTAAGGCGCAAAGAGAATTATGTAATACGATAAAAAAAAAACTCTTAATTTGACTGTTTATAACGTTGCAATAATCGCGAGAGAATTACATAAATGGAGAAAAAAAAACGTAGCAAAATCGTATAAAAATAACTCAAAATCTCAACTACAAACTCTCCGTAACCGAAATGATTTGGGGAAGTAAATTCCTCTATTCCTTTCTCATAATATTTTCCTTTTGTTGAATGATTTTTTCAAGTTCGTACAAAAAGAAACATTCAGTCTAGGAAAGCTCAGATATAACTTGCATCTTCTCGTATTTCTGATTCTTTTAGGTGAAAATTGTGATGGTTTTTCCGTTTGAATAAAACCTTAAGGAATAAAATGTAAAGTCTGTGTCCTACTGGTCACTTTTTTCAACATAAGTTTTCCACTTTCTTACATTTCTTAAAACAAAGTGAGGTGTTTACAAGACAGAGACAAAGATGAGGGACTATACTTTCCTCTGAAATGGCCAGGCCACGCAATATCCAAACTGACTTCAAAGGGCTGATGTCGTTCGTCCAAAAGAGTGGTCCAAAAACGTAGTCAGGTAAATGATTTTCTTTAGACGCTTTAATTTTCTTGTTTGTTTTAACTAACATCCACGCCAGATGATTTTCAGCCACTCGTGTATACAGGCTTCCGCTCTCAAAAAGTCCTCATCTTTCTTCACTGCGAATAAAGAACTGTCAAATAGAAACTTGCGGAACTAAACTTAAGCGAACAATCACTTCGAACTGAAATTCTCTATGTGATCTATCAACGAAAAGTGCAACGAACGAGGAAGTCCATATGATTTTCCATTCAAATTTAGATTTCAGTAAAAAGTAATTAAATCATCTGCCCCTGGGAAATATCAGCAGATAATCAGACAAGTGGTCTCAGACATTGGTGGTGTCCAGAATATTGCAGATGACCTGATAGTACATGGTGAGAACAACGAGGAGCATGACTGGAATCTATATCGATTGATACGGAGATTAGCAGAGGAGAACCTCACCCTCAACCTTATAAATTCCAATTCAGAATGGACAAGGTAGTCTTTATGGGGCTGTTAGTTTCAAAGTATGGCGTGGGTCCAACAGAAGAGAAGGTACGTGCAGTGCTGGAGGCAAACCGCCCATCTACTCCAACGGAAGTGAGAAGCTTTCTTGGTATGGTTGGCTTTAGTGCATGAGTTATTCCTAATCTTGCAACTGTCGCCGAGCCTTTACGAGCAATTTCCAGGAAGGGGGTACCCTTTGTTTGGAGCAGTGAGCAGGATAAATCCTTTAAAGAACTGAAAAAGCAATTAGCTAGTGCGCCTGTGCTAGCTTATTTTGACAAAGATGCATACACGCGAGTGATAGCCGATGCAAGTCTCGTGGGGTTAGGCGCCGTTCTGGTCCAGGAGAAGAATGGATAGCGCCGAGTCGTTTGTTACGCCAGCAGAAGCCTCAGCAGTGTGGAAAGGAGGTACGGCCAAACTGAAAAGGAGGCACTAGCTCCCGTGTGGACCTGTGAACGTTTTAACCTTTACCTGCTTGGGTTACCAACCTTTGATTTAGTCACGGACCACGAAGCATTGAAAGTGGTCTACTCGAGAGGATCCAAACCATCTGCACGCATCGAGCGCTGGGTGCTAAGACTGCAACCATACAATTACAAGGTATGCTGTGTCAAATCCCAAGACAACATTGCAGATGTCCTATATCGTCTGATGAAGATCCCCGCTTCAGAGAAATATCGATATGATGATGAGCACGTTCGAATAGTTGCTCTCTGTGCCGTACCTATAGCCCTAAAGATTCAGGAGATTGAGAGTGCCTCAGCTGAGGATGAGGATTTGCAAGCAGTGCAAAGTTGTCTTATAAGTGGGAACTGGGAGAAAGCTCCAAAGCCATATGTGTGGGTACGTAACGAACTTACCTATATTGGCCAAGTCATCCTGCGTGGAACTAGAATCGTGATTCCTAACATTTTGAGGAAGAGGGTCTTAGAACTTGCACATGAGGGACACCAGAGGGTGGTGAAGATTGAGGAGCGCCTGAGATCTAAGGTGTGGTGGCCAGGTGTTGATAAAGATGCAGAACGAAAGCGCCAAGAGTGTTATGAGTGCCAGCTTATGACAAAGGAGACAGTGCCTCCACCAGTGAAGACAACCAGGATACCTGAGAGACCGTGGCAGGACCTATTCTAGCATTGGACCTACTGGGCCCTATGCCAACAGGAGAGTCTTTGCTGGTCCTAGTGGATTATTTTAGCCGATGGGTGGAGGTTGACGTCATTAAGTCCACCAGTTCAGCAGCGATAATTAAGTGCTTAGACGCGAGAGAGACTTAGTGACTATGTTACCACCTGAGGGAGACAATTACTTTGCTATGACAGTGGCAACTTTGATAAGGCTGTGCCTACGGAAGTGTTAATTTGTATCAATTGTACCTTAAAAAGACACTGTTGACATTTTCATGTTACTTAGTAGTAGTGAGACTTTCCAAGTGAAGAGAGGGAGAGATGTGGTGTCTGATCCGGAGGAAGTCTGGAGTCATGTGACAAGTTGAAGTAGTGTTTTTGTAGTGTAGCGGCGAAGGAAGTAGTGCTTGTGTTTGTCTACACTATTAGCCTCGATGGCCCATTAACAATACTACAGTGAGGGTATCGGTCATCTAAAACCTGAAAAATGAAAATCCTTTCTACTCATCAGTATCAGTCACCCACGAGGGACTGTCTACTTTTGCAAATTCAAACAAATTCATATTTATACCCCCTCCCCCGCTTGCTTTTCCAACCAGCGAGAACCTAGCCCGCCAAGTGAATGTGATAATAATCCAATCATCATTTTTGTTTCGCTTTATCAATATGCTCCTCTATGACGTTTTGCCTTGCTCATCCGCGAGAAGGAAACATTCCCGAAGTCGAAATAAATTCATACAGATAGACCCTATGCGTTGGTTAACTCACTCTTCTGCGCCCACTTGGTGAATGTAGGCTGTTTGCTGTAAAGAATAGGGTTCTTGTGTTGGAGACTTCGCAGCCTTGGGTAGCAATTATCATCCACCCGGCATTACCGGAACAGCCCCCATAGTTCCGGTTGATGAAGAAGTGCCGGTTGTAGTTTGGCTCTCCACGAATGGAAAAGTAGTTCTTTGGCTGTATTTTTATATCTGTCCAGGCCACCGTAGTCTAGTTTCTGGAACGGCATTCCCTTGGGTCACAATGATCTTTCTCACGTGATGTCGAGTAGAGAAGTTGTTATTGCGCTTTCTCGTGTAACGGTATTCCCCAGGCAACACGATGCGAAAACAAGGTGGTTTACTGGAAGCTGGCGCATTATTAAGCTCAGCGTTCCAAACTTATCCACAATAGACAACTAACAGAGGAAGTATCCCCTCTATAGTAATTACCATTAGATGTAAAGACATCTTCGATTCAGCCCATAAGGTCTGTCAAGTTAACCTCAGCAAACGTAAAGATTGCGCGAATAGCGGCAAACGAGGATGTGACGAAAACATGTCTCTAAAAGAGATCGAAAACATTTTTTTCACTGAAAGTGGAGAATACTTGGAAGTTGGCTGGGAAACTGAGTGTCAGATCGCATCCATGATGAGGCTGAATCACGAAAAACGACTTCCTTATCTCTCTCCCTAGTTATCCTAAGGAAAACAAAGAATATAAAGAGACTATAAAAAAAACGGTTAAGCTGAAAATTTTTCCTTTCCCAGTCGAATACCAAAACAGTAGTTGCCCAGATCGAAAGGTGATCAGTATATATCGGTCAGGCTCACGAGTATAATGCATTCAGTTAATGTTATTCGCTTTTTTAGTATTCTCCTCGCAAAAGTCTCTAAAGAGCAAATGAATGTATTCTTGTGTAGGAAAATGGAAATATTTTTCCTTAATAGGCGCTTTCTATAAACGAGGTTTTTATTTAAGGTATTAAAGGATGTACTTTCTTTAATTCCGCACAATTGACGGTCACATATGAGAAACTGAGAAACTGCAATTATTAAAAGATGGTGTAACCGTGCTTGTTTTTGCCCTACTTAACCGTTATTTTAAGTCTTTCCTACTATAAAGTCGCTCGCAAAGTTCGAGACTCATGAAAGCCAAATGTCAAATACTTGTTATTATATAGGAAAAACTACGAATACTATTGAAACTTCGAGCCTGTTTGTTTGTCTGGGCAATAATCTTTCAGCAGTAAAGTTATTTCCAATTGCCTGACCTTGCAAATGATGTAAGAAAATTAGAACTGATCTGCATCTTTATCTCATACTCCGGTTCTGTGGCTCGTCATTCATATAAAATAATGCAACTTCTACCATCATATATTTCTCTGCTTGAAATAGGTTTTCAAATAGGACTATTTTTCGTTGTCAATGAATAAGCAATAGTTACTTGATTAAAGAATTACCGAAAGAAGGTCAGTGCGTTTGATATAGCTATAATATGGCAATACCTAATTGAAAGTCGGTGAAACTTAGGTGTTACTAAATTCTCTTTGGACTGAGCACTAAAATGCAAATACTAACCGACTTATAATAGACATGATAAGTGGCTTGAAAATTTCAAAGTTAACAAAAACTGTTTAATGTAAACTATCCTTGTTTGCTAAGATAATTAAAAGCTCTGTTCTGCTGTTGTAGTGTATGCCGTGTGAGTCGGAGAGTGCAAGAACGAGTAGTAAATGTTCTTGGTGTTGTTCTCATCTGATTCAACTCGCTACTTGAATGTGTATGTCTGGACTTTACAGCTGTTATTTGTAATTATTATACGTTGTTCTCACTAACGGTCTTTTCATTGGCTAAAAGCCTACAGACTAGTTATTTGCTAGCAGATATCTGACTAAGTAAGTTGTGCGCGCCGTGCATTAGTAAAACAAAAGAATTGTATAATTCGTTCCCGAGCCCCTTTTATAGCTAGAGGGGGCCTAATGGGAACATTTTAGCCTAACAAGTTCTTAAAAACCAAATTCTTAGTCGCGAGTTTTTACTGTAGCCACTGGAAATAAAACTCACCATTTAGTGTTGTTGAAATTGCCAGCGACAACAGGATAAAAAAAGCTCAGGGATTCTGGCAGTAAAGAGGCTGTGCCCTTTTTATTACGCCAACCTCTCGGACGATTTTGGTCGAAATAGAAATGGAACGTTTCGTTCAAGGTAAAAATGTTCCGGAAACAGTTGTCCACCTGCAAAGGTGGTCTTCATTACTAGTCCCACTTTGCTGAGAAGTAACAAAATTTCGGTCAAAACGTAAATGGAACACTTCATTCGGTTCGAAACTTTGCTTCAATAGAATACTGTAGCTCCATTTTTTCTTGGTTAGTTCCACTTGAATGGCTTTCTAACGGGGTTGATTTGGCAAAACGAAAAGCATCCGCTAGTGGAGTTTTAACAAACAGTTCAGGAAGTGCTTTCAGCTTATCAACCTGTCAACGCGCCCAAAACAATAAAACGGTATAAAATTAACGTATAAAGAATTTTTCATAGTCAAATTACTTTTAATCGTGTTGGAAACCCTCAGGCGTAATGGAAGACTAAAAAGTCTATAATGCAATGGTATAAATTACTTTTACCTTAATCAGCATCTGATTAAGAAACTTATTCGTGATGAAAGCTTCAGCATTATTATTTAGGGTCTGTCTTTACGTGGGTACTTAAACTAACTACAAAGTTGTGTTATGTAAGAAATCCAGGGGTGAGATACGTTCTTGTCTGTATTCTTAGTTTGTTTATCATAGATTTTGTTTAAACACTGTAGGTTTAAAATGCTGGACATATTACTTCCGATTATTTCTGCATTATGAATAAAGGTTAGGAAGCTATTAAATTCTAAATTGAGATCCATTTGCATTTTAGCTCTCTGCGGGACCCGACCTGGTGGTGCCGGCTAGGACTGACTTAGTCACGTTCATAGGAGTAGATGGCTAATAAACAGCTGCAGTACTATGAAAACCAGCCCCATTCTCCAAAGTTTATGTATGTACGTGTATGTAAATTTGGAATTAACAGCAGATGACGCTTCAGAGCATTGCTCGGTGTTTAAACAATCAAAGGTACTGAATTTTTGAAAATGTTTTCCCAACCTCAGTTTGTTGTCATTGCTTTTACTTTTCGCTTTTTACTTGTCTGCTTGGCGCAAAACGAGGGAGAATTGAATTACTTGATGATCAA